CTGCGGATATAACAATACCTGTAACTACTGCCATAACAATAAAATTCTCACGGTCGCCATTTTCTTTCCCTTGAAAATAACTAAATTGCCTCCGGTAAAACGGATAATAACTATTCCATTGATTACCGGTTTGAAAACAAAATAACTCGACACATGTGCAATAAACAGTACCCCAATAAAATCCAGTGATCACCTAAATAAATTAATTATCCAATACCGAAGTGTATTACCCCGGTCAAAACTTTTTCTTCATTAAGAGTTGAAAATCCGTTGAATAACGGAGGTAAAAAGTTGGACGCTGACACCGAAGTAAATTACAAAGGCGATGAGGAGGAAATATTTTTAATAAAATTTTATTACCAGGAGGGCGCATCCAACTCGGGTTGGCAAAGGATTCCACAAAAAAAAAAGATTCATAAAGGTTGAAGCCGAGATTTGAGGTTTAATGAGGTCACAGCACAAATTAACCCCCACTAATTGATGTTATCACCAAGGCTGATCCCCTATTGGTTATCAATTATCTATAGAGGCACACGTGGGCTCTGATTCCATCAACGAGAAATGCAGTACTCGTGTTGCTTACGATCCATGAATGCAAACACGAGATCGATCTGAAGAGGCAATTCTGATTGAAGAGTTCCTCAATTTTTTTGAATTTCGACGAGAATTTGAGGTGAAACGAAAGAGCAATGGCATAAAAGCAATGATTTTGTCGTTCTTTGAAAATAGTACGCGATTTTTTATCGCTAAAAATCACTAGATCCCTAGATTAATCATTAAATTCCTTAATTAACTGCCCAAGGGATGATCGGTAACACCCAGGACTCGGTACTCTGTTTTCCCACAGCTGCAATTACCTCCGAGGACTTGTCATTGGTTCCACTGTGTTGGAACTTACGAACATGCTTTGTCGATCCATCGATACCTATAAATTCGGTTCAACATTCCAAATCGCTCGCCCTGAATTCCCAGAATAATGATACCTTTGATGCAATTAATATGAGACACTTGGATGGCGAATGGGGCCACAAGGTATTCAGTAAAAAAGAAACTATTGAATTATCAGTGACGTGGGGAATTATCAATTATTTCTGGTGATGTATTTTTGAATGGAGTATGATGCTGAAGTAGCCAACGAGGATTATGAATTATTCCCAGTACCCTTGGAATATGCCAAGGGTCACTTGGAAAAATGTTTGACCTCGAGTTTACGGCTCGTCGTGAAATTTAACTGTCAATTTTGAATTAATCACACGCAATGCAGTTTTGGATTCACGGTTTTATTTTGGGGGATTCGTAATGGATTTTGTTAGAGCAAATGGAATTGTTCGATTTAATTTTTGAAGTGGTTCCAAGTTGTTTGAGATCTGAGAAGCAGTCGAGGATTCTTTTGGGAAATTTATGGGGCTGTTAAAATTTGGAAGTCTGGGGAAATTCTGAAGGTAAAGGTCGCGGTTCTTTGGGATGTGAAAGAATGAAATTTAATAGTGGATAATTTTGTGGGATTTTCGACGGAATGTTGTTCTGTGAACTTACAGACGCTTTTGACATGACCTCTCCGAATTTCGCAGGATACCGCAGAAATTAATTAAACCTCCATCGCTGGGTCAATTTATCCCGGGTTATTTCAAAATTCAAATTATTGTTGTTCTAGTTGTTCGACTTGGAAAGTTCCGCGTAACTCTCGGTACATTCTCCCTTTCACGATCGAGTACAAAGTGAAGTACATCCTCTAGTCCGAGTACAATAATTGGATGAATTAATTATGAATTATTATAAAATTCAGTGGTATAACGCGGGTATTTTTTCAATTTAATTCGAGTAAAAATGAGCTCTGGGCAGATTTAATTAAAAAAATTCGTCCCTTTCCCTTCGTTTCTCCTCGGATAAATTCCAAAATTCCTAAACGTTCATGTCCAGGTGATTGCATAATTGACCTAAAATTCGGAGGTCTCGAATTTCGCCGCAAATTGCAATTTTTTAATGACAGAGTTTGAGGGTCCCAATTAAATGAAACTTATTAAAAGTACCAGAGGTGTCCACCGGAAAAATAATTAAAACATCTTGCCCCTTTCTCATCAGTTACGAGAATTTCTGTGTCTCCCAACTTTCCGAGGATCAACTCCTTCTCGAATAAAGTGAAAACTTTTTTTATTTCCGGTGGAAATCATCACTCTCTGCAGATGGAACAGACACTTATTCCTCTTTTATACCCTTCATAGGCACACGACTTCGTAATCCGCTCACCGCCTTCTCCAACTTCTCTCCTCGTTTGCCTTTCACTACCTTTTTTCCAAAGTCATCTTAACTGCCCGGAAAAAAAGCTAACTTTCCCCAGTAAAATTGAGTCGTTACTCGGTGCATAGATAAAGCCGTGGGAACAACTAGACAGCGGAATTTCCAGCTTCTTCCCGAGAAGAAACATTGTGGTAATATCTCAAGTACTACGCGGTACGCGTAGAATATTGCACATATACATCACCGCAAAACGCCACGTTTTCCAGAGTCCTGTGCAGCTCCATCTTCCAAAAATTTCTTTTCACGTGAAATTCACTCGCTCGAGAGGGAAAATCCGTTCCGAGGGATAGCATTAGAAAATCTCGAAGGACAACTCCCTTATCTCTTCCCCCCGGAAGAAACCCCTGGAGCCCACCCCTCACCCCGTACGGCAACCATGATAAAAAAAAAAATCGATCCGCTGAACTAAAAAAAAACTCAACCCCCGGTGTGTCAAAGGGCATCCGAGCGTTATAAAAATAGCAGGTGAAAGGGCGCGCTGAAAATGACAGCGGGTGATCCTGAGGAAAAAATAAAGGAGATAAAAAATTCTCAGGACAAATAAAAAGGGGGGCGAGAGGGGTGGCAGGGAAAGACAATGAGAGCAAGGGCACGAAGGGCAAAGGGGAAAGGGGAAAGGGTGAAATGAGAAGGGTTGTTTGAAGGAGGAGGGCAACTAGCCCAGTGACCGCAATGCCGTGCGGTGTGCGGTGTACAGCCATTGCCCCCCTCCCTCCAGTCTCACCCCCTTCCCCTCATCGCTCTCTTTGCCCCCTCCGTCGATCAGTGCATAGCACCTGTCTACGTGCGCACATACGTCGGTCTCCCACGACGCTCGTCAGATAAATCCACCCTCTACATACCATGAATTCCAACCCCCTGATAATGATAACTAAACGAGGGGGTAGACCACCCCCTCACACCCTGAAATTATCATGAAAAAAAATCTATATGTCTGTTTGAATCTGAACTATTTTGAATTATGTATAAAAAAAATTATGTGAGTTTCGGAATTTTGGAAAAGTGTAATAACAATTTGTTATTATCAAATCTAGAATTTTTTTCACCGTGTTTCGGGGAATCGGAAGTTTTAGTGATCGAAATTGCGTCACGTTTGGGGAATGAAAGTGCAAACACGTGACAAAGTTGTATCGGAGAAGAATTGGGGAATGAGGGACGCATAGGTGAAAAATGAGTGTAAAATAGAGATAGAACTAGACAAGGAGTTTTCTAGAAGTACCTCCGAAACACCTGTTGATCCTTCGATTAAAGTTTGAAGGAAGAGTGACCGACAGAAACCATTGCCTGGACACGAGAAAAAAAATATCGATCAAAAATTATATTATTGCAGTAATTACTACGAATGAACGGAATTGTCTCGGTCAGAATTATTTGATTACGAAAAAATGGAAAACTTCTATTTAATTAAATGGAATTAAATGTGAATAGGAGAATAAAAAATATCTCACTCCACAGTTACGACCGCCGAATAAACAATGACAAAATTTAAATGTTGCAACTACAGGTGTAACGTCGTTGTCAGGAATGATGCGCAAACGAAAATAATCATTGACATAGATTTCCCCAAGACAAATAAAAATAGATTGAGAAGTCGTGTTTTTCCAACTGGAACATGATCACCTTTTGGACCGAAGAAATGTGACATTCCCTCAGTCCACGGAATTTAATTTACAAGTGGTAAATTTCGCGCTCAATCCCCCGCACAATTTGAAAGTGAATAAAAAATATCAATAATATATGACGTACATCGCACTTGCAGAATTGAATAAAAGCGTTCGGTCCAGTAATCGAAAAAAAAAGACAGACAAATAAATATTCGTACTTGAAAAATTCGTGAGTAATTAAATAATTACGAATTGTTATATTTTTCCGCGTCAATCCCGTCGCAAGTTTGTCATGGAAATGAGGAAAAAAAACGTGAATTTTGGAGAAGAGGATGTAGAACATTCTCAACGCATGAAATTTCTCAATTTCCGGGGCATTTTCTCTTTCATGTGACTCTCGAGAATGAATGAATGAATCATAACGCAAATCCTCATCCAGTATATCACGAAAAGAGCCAAAAGTCAGGTACGTATCTCAGTTGAGGAGTTATTGCGAAAAGCACTGATGCCGGACACGTGTCGTCTGACAAACTGCTCTGCATTGCAGCCTGGCATGGCACTGAAAAACCCGACAAAGGCTTTCGTGTATTTGATGGCGTACACCCGAGTCCCTTTTATTTATGCTCATAGCCAGTGTATCCCGACATTAACAAATAATGGCGTCATGTAGACATCAGCATGACACAAAACTCATTACGCTCGGGCGATATTGGTTGGCGCGCCGCGTAAATTAATCTGAGTGGGCAATTACGTCGATTAATAATCGTTACAGTTTCCATTTTGAAGGAGAGAGTACCCTAATTGTGAAACTATCCCTCGGAGTGTTATCTCGCTGTACATTTGCCGAGGGAAAAAGAATGGTAGCTTCGACTGAAAAATCACTTGTTTCCAGCAATTCGTGGAAATTCTCGGAACAAATGACTTTTTCAATTGCTTCCAGTACTTCCGGGTTGACTAAGAGTTCAATTAAATAACTGTTATTTTTAACCGTAACCCTTAAACCGTATAAAGGAAGATAAATTGTATGCAGTTTGGAGTAATTACAATGAATTAATGAGCATTAGAGTGAGAGAAGTAGAAAGTTAATATTGAACTCACCCCAAGGTGGTCATGGTAACGATGGTGTACCAAAAAGCTGCGGGAATCGAGGTAAAGTTGGTCCCCTCGACGTTCTTCTCAGCATAAAACATGACAGTAGCGAAAATGATAATCGCCATAGCCAGTGAAAAAACTAGAAATCCAAGTTCAGAGGCACAAGACTTGAGGGTGTAACCGAGAATTCTCAAGCCCTGGGAGTGCCGTGAAAACTTGAATATACGAAAAACGCGAAAGACCCTGAGGGTGACAAAGGCCCCGGACACATCGTCGTTGTCAGTGATGCCAAGGCCAATATAATACGGCAATATAGCGACAACATCAATGATCGACATTACCGAACGAGCAAATTTACACCTACTGGGTGCGGCAAAAAGTCGCAACAAATACTCAGCCGTAAATATCATGACACACGCTGTATCGAGACAGAAGAATACAATCTTATATCTCTCACCGCACGACAATGTTCCAGCCCTTCCAGGACGTGTTCCACATGGCACAGTCTCCACAACATTTGCCAAAACACTGACAGCAATGAAAAAACCAGTAACATAATAAAATACAAGTGCCGCTGTCGATATATGGGGATTTTGAAATGCCCGCCACATCTTCTCCCTCATATCGGTCAATTTTTGCAAATTCTGATCGCCATTCTCACTCAGCTTATCGTCCATCAATCTCTCGGCATTCTCCCTCTTCCTGTCTCGATAATCCTCGTAACAACAATCACCAATAACGTCTGGCAAAATACCGAAAAAAGCAAGCTCCTCGTCATAACTTGTCAGACACTCGTGCTTTGGATAATGGAGTTTACCGGTCCTATAGTAATTCAATATGTGACGAAATATGTCTGGATCCCGATCGAAGAAGTACTCCTTGCTGTCCTCGTCGTAAAAAAATTCACGCTCATTCGAGCCCAGCAGTGTATCGGGGTACTTCTCGAGCGTGTTCCTCCAAGTTTCAAAGCGACGACCGCTGACGTTAATCTGGAGCTTTTCATCGTCGGCCTTTCGACGATCCTTCGGTATTGGCGGTGGTGGTAATGGATGAGTGGCGATCGGCACCCAACCGATCGCCGCCGCCCGTGCAAACGGCAGCCAGGCTGCCACCGAGGCCATGTTTGACGGTGGAATAACGATTGATCAAGGATTATCAACTTTAATCAATATCTTTGACAATCACTTCAACTGTGCAATCGGCAACTTTACCTGTACACTGGTGTTGTTGTTCTTCTTTTGGTTATTGCAGATGCTGAGTTGACGCTTGACTTCATCACAACTGCATGACAACTCGATAAATCGTTTGCAATCTATTCAACTGAGTTGGCAGCTTTTTCGGCGGCTATTGATTCTAACAAAATGATCGATTACCATCGATTACCATCGATCAGTCGATTGCTCTGCTCGATCTGTTCTGCAGCATGTGCTGGCCTTGTCCTTCGCTCTTGCGTGCTGTCTCTCGCAGTACAGCCGATACCGACCACTACGAGTGATAATGACACTGGCATTGTCAATCATTCTCTAAATTATGGCGTTTATTTTTATTTTGTCATTTACCGGGGTAAAACAATGACCTCGACAGCGGGAATGGAATAGACTTTGTACACAGAGCAGTGATTACCGGGCAAATGCCGTCTTGGCACAATGCCTTCCACCATCACCGATGAATCCCCGGCTTTTTCACGAGTCTCAGGGATTTTCTCAATGTGTCAGACCTCTGGCAGTCTGAAATCACTTCATGATTCTAGGGCTTGCCGATGATTTTCTTGATTATCGAGGACTCACTTTAGACGATTGTCAACCTCTGGTGATGGTGGAGATGCTCTCTGGGGTATTGCTAACGTTTGACATTATCAACCTCTGAAGAGCTTCGGGTGTCACTCGACACTGCCAACCGCTGATTCTCAGTCATTGTTGACCACTTGTTTCTCTCGCAAGCTTGCACCAACCTGTACCGTTCAATCCAAATTTAGATGGTCCAATCTACCATCAATAAATGATAATACAGATGGATTTTTGGCTGAATGCTGTCAACTCGTCGGGTCATCGGTTGTCACAGCCACAGGTCCCTTCATCCGTGTAACCTATCACTCACGCGCACCGACCTTGACCGAGCGTTCACGCGTAATTATAAATAAACAAACTTGGTCGAGGATTTTCGGTCAACCGAGGCTGCACAACGTTTTGCGGTTGCACTCAGCTGTCTTGCCGGGCTTGACTCCAACTCCCTGATGCTTTCCCTGGCTCGTGACAGATCACACTGACGAGGAAGAGGTGAAACAAGCGCGCGCGTCACAACGCTTTTCCACCAGTGGACATGTCACTTTTTTTTTATCGGCTCTTATGCTTTCCTCAGCTACTCACGAGCCCCTGGACCCTCTGGCACTGGTCATTCCCGATGGTATTTCCCACCCCCGGGGGTGGTAAAGGTCGAGGGAATGAGTCAACCTGATTATTTCCACCAATTTTCCATGGTTTTTTTTTTCACTCAGTTGTCATGGCCACTGGATAATTACCCAAATGATGACTGATGTCGGTAGTGAGGTATTATTATCTGAATCTTGTTGGAGCTTTTTAGGGGTTAATTACTCGCGAACCGCTCAAGTTACACCGCTCGATGGAGACGGTCACTCACGACTGGCGGTATGTACGGTATATTCGGTATGTACTCAAGCTAGTGATATACGAAATAAACTGGGTGGAGGGGGTGGCGCGGCCCGGCGCTTTCAACTCGTGTACAGCAGTTGGGTTTTGCCCACCCAACTTCACCTAGAGACCCTGTCTTGGTGGCGAGGTTCAGCCCGTACGAGCCACGTTTATACCTAGAACACCAAACCGGACTAGTCAAATTGATTTTTACGGGAGGAAAGACAGCGTCGGTGGCGACGCTATGCGTCACGGACGCGCAACGCCAATCGTTGCCCGGGCAACCCTTGGTCGTATGACGTCATAACTTCAACCCTCTACATTTACTCGTCAGTATGGGTTTTTACTACCCCGGTACCACCACTCTGGGGTATTACCCATTGTCAGGGTGTTCCCCACCACTGGAAGGGGAGAAAAAAAATCGGGGATAAACCCTGTTGGGCTTCTGGTGGTTGGGTAACTCCGGGGTGCTCCAGGATCAGGGGGTTTGTCGGGGGATTTTGGGGGGCTGGAAATATCGAGATGCCTGGAAAATGGATTTTATTTTTTTTTTTTTGCAATCTCCGGAGCTAGTGGGATAGGAAATTCCAAAGCAAATTTCAAGTAGACTTGAAAGTTTTTACCATTCTTCATTGATTAATTAATCAATCAGTTAATTTCTTGGATATTCCGGCAATTATGGAATTTTAGATTCATATGACACCGAAAAAAACGTGGAAATCTTGAAAATTCGAGGAATAATTTAATTAAACGTTTTCATTGAACAATTCAAATGTCAATTAAAAATTGATTAAAATTTTTTTAATTCCATTTTTTACAGATTTCAATTGACTTTGTAATGAAATAATCGCCATGAAAATTAAAAGAGCAACTAAAAATGCATTTTTTTGTCTGACAATAAATTCAGTGTTCTTTCCTTCTCGTAAGATAATTTATCTCTCTGTACTTTGAGAATAATTTAGTCTCCCTGGAATGTTTACTCACAATTAGGATATCTTTTTAAGAGACTGACTATTCAGGTGCCATTACTACTGACCATATCGCAACCCGGAGGTGCCCTCTGTCCCAAAACTCTCATTCTTCCCGGGGAATGTTTTGTTTTTTTTATCCTTTCCTCTACAAATGCTTTTGTCCAAACCAACGTAGAAGTAAGCTCATGCCACTAATGAAGGCTAGGGACTATAACCTCGGAATTCAAGTGGCTTTTCGTCGACTCAAGGGTCCAGGGCACTAACATAACGCTGAGCCTTACTCCAAGTTTACCCCTGGCAAGAGGAAAAAAAAAATAAAACATTACGAATTCATTCCGACTTTGCAGAGGGCTTTCCTTTTTTCCTTTACACAAGAGTTTAATTAGGAATGAATTAATTGCACGCAATTCAAAGATTAAATATTTTTCATTCCCTTCACTGATGCATTTTTCATGCCAAAGGTATCATAATTTCATTTTAATGGAAATCGTAGGTACAAAGTGAAATTTCATTATTATTTTAAAGCAATGTCTATGAGCACTTCCTCAAGGGAATCGTACGCGATGTAAAAAAAAATCACTCAACCGATTCCCGGAGAACAGACTCATGTACTTGGAAAGAACTTTGCAATTTGTTGGGCTAAAGTTGAGAGGGTGCAAGATATCCTCGGCATCAAAGCCACGGGAAATTGCAGAAACGAGTTTAAACTTCTTTCTTCATCCACCAGCAACCATTTATGGCGTTCTGTCAATTGAATTGAGACGCTATTGTTCCTAATTCCCTCCCACTTTGTTTCTCCGGATGAAAAGTTTCATCGTTGCCTCCTACGTGCAGGAAATATCTAGCTTGATGAAAAATTTTCCAGGAAATTCCAACGGTAGCAAAAATTTACGGTTAAACTCAGTCCGAATTAAACGATTGAATGACAGTGCATACGGGAGGAAATGATAATTTGTGGGGAAAATTTTGTGGAGTAAGATGAATCTCTCATCGTGTGAATTGTCCGACGGAATGATCGAGGCTCTTGTGATTCTTTCCTCCTCATTTCTCGTTTCAATTTGACAAAAGGGAAGAAATGAGGAATGATGTTTCACCAGTGACAAGCGGTCGTGCGAACTGGGTTAACGACTTGAAGATTTAAGAGTGTGGCCCAAAGCATTGTGTTCCAGGTTGCAGAGACCAGTGACAAATTCATCATCCCTCATGTTAATTTGAAGGAGAAAAAAGTCAGGCACTGCAAACTTTTTACTCGGCCCGTGGAAAACTTTGAACGACTGTCTTCACTCGTCATATTCAACCGGGGAAAAATACTGGATTCCATTTGCATGCGGACGAGTGAACATTTGTTTTGTTATTCTGAAGGGGAAACTGGAGTCACTGAAACGACAGGAGATTATGAATTCTCTTCAGGTGGAAGAAAAATCGCTGGAAAATTACAGAGTGAATACTGTCTCCGAATATTTGAATTGTGAGATCAACCCATAAAAATCTTTCGTTAATCAACTTCAGGAATTAATTATATGCAATTAATTGAGGGATGTGGAGGGAAGAATCTGGATTTTCACATGCACGGTTCGTGCAGTAAGTCATCATCATTCTCAAGCTCTCGGAGTAATTGCATCGTAAGTCCTGATCCCCTCCGCAAGAGTTCCACTTATTTTTTCATTCTGGAAAATACCCCTAAGTGAGATATTACCATGAAACACCACTGCTAAACCCTCAGAAAATGCCACGGATAATCGCAGACCTAATGTTTCATTTATTACGAACCCCTGTCAGCACCCAGTGCTGCCCAAAAAAAAAACAATTTTCTAAATGGACCATTTACCTGTAATTTCCCCTAAAATTATTTTAAGTACCTTCAAATATAATTATCAGAATTCCCCCGATTATTAATTTCACGGAGTAATTGGCCGGAAATTTATGGCTTCCATTCATCTCAGCGTGAAATTATGAACTTTTAATCAGAAAATTCCGCAGAAGAATCACGTGCTAATCAAGTTTGTAACTTTTGCTATTTCAATGGTTAATGTTTCCGCCCTGTCGATGATGTCAATCCCCCAAGAGATGACAAAAAAACCCCGACCATTCGAGAATGACAATTTGGTCTTGCTCCCTCGATTCATCCGGCATTTGAAAAGGAACGAAAACCTAGGCGTCACTGAGGCTAAATTAAAAAGAAGTAAAGCTGAAAAATCCTTGAGAGGAAAAATGTACTCTTTTCACCCGCATACGTGTGAGTCTCATCATGTCTCGTCACTCGTAGACATTCACATCTAGAATGTTTCTCGTTACTCTGCTTGAGGTACAGAAACATACGAGAGATGTACAAAACCCCGGGGTGAAATTGAATGCAGTAATGAGGACTACGGTAGGAGGGATGAATGGAGAGGAATTAAAACTCGGGTTTATTCTACCCTCAATTTTTACTGGTTAAATATTCAGAATTTTGCAAATGGAGGAAATATCTGAATGAGAGGTGAAGCAAGATCAGGCAATGAAGGCTGAAACACTAAAACTGTACATAAAGACAATTTTTATTTTAAATACTTCTTGGACATCGATACTTTTGTTCGTGAGAATTTGTAATTTCCATTTTAAATGTTTTCTCCGTCATCCTCTCGTTTTCCTTCTACACCTGTCACGCCACAATTTCCATATTACTATTCAAAAATGGATAAATCGTCAAGAAAGAAAATATTACGTTCTCCTTCTCAAAATTCCATTGAGAGTGCACAAGAGAACGAAAAAAAAGTCCGTTCCATTTCTGCAGTACGAGACATGAATTTTCTTCATTCTGTAGGAAAAATATGTCACTTCCTCTCATCACGAAGACTCAAGAGAAGAGCCTGTGAGTTTTGCAGATCGCGGGCAATTAGCGTGAGATTTCTCATACATAGAAGATCGATGAAATGTCTCAGAGAGAATATTTGGTGCAGCTTTGCCTCTAATTATTCATAATTAAATTGCATAATCCATCTTAAATTCATAAAAAATATTCACCAATAGCTCGCAACTTGAAAAACTCACAGTAGTCTCCCCTTAACCGGTACAGACTTTGATGCGGATCGATCAATCTTTCTTCATTGATGAAATGTATCAGTACTATTCGAGTACACAGCACGAAAACTTCTCATTAGACTTTATGATGGATTACAGCTTGATATTCATCAGGTTTGCCTTTAAAACGTGTAACCCAACACCCTCCAAAGATAAACTCAGCCTAATCAACTCCGACGTTGAATAACGTATAATCCATCGTAAAATCCAACAACAAGGCTCATCACGATCATGGATAAAGTAAATAAATGATTATCAGCAGAAAAAAAACTCTCAAAAACAGTATCGTTAAAGTACAAAGTCAGGAATGATTACAAATAATATCATCGCTCTGTTCATTCTCAATAAATTTATAATTTATGCGCACGTTTACGTTCGACCGAGGCCCACCCATTAAATTATGACACGTATATATAATTTATTTTCCTTTAAAAACATCACTCATTTGTCTCTCTCACACGTACACCTTTTAATTGGTGAATGAATAATACTAGAATAATCAATGGACCGATTTCACACACCGGACGAACGTAAGCAACAATATATACACATTAAAAAGCAGTTTTCGTTTTACTTTTGATTAATTAATCATCAATCAATTAATGGAATTTTTTTCATTTTTCTTCAGTTGTGGATAATCGAAGGATCATGACATTTCGTCATCCTTGTGCTTTTTCCAATTGACATTTTGCTTCTTCATTTCCCTCTCGTTAATTATGTAATATCAATAGTTTTGGGAAAGTGAGTTAATCATTCAAATTAATATAATCAATGTGATTGAAAAAAAGCCTTAATACTGCACAAATTCTTTTATACATCAAATCATTTCACCTCGATTCACTCTTACAATATTGCTCTATACATTCATATTCTCTTCGTTTTTAGCATTGAGTGGAACAAGAGTCTGAAAATTTTCAGAAATTTTAATTAGCAATTATCTTCGTGATTTCGTTAGTTAAGTCTCGAGGGACCATAGAGACCCCCGTTCGTTTTATCGTGGAGGTGTTAGAAATAAAAGGGATCGTTCATTCAATTGATTCATCCGTACCTCGCACTTTCGTTTTACTCCCGCAATAAGAAACAATCGAGCTGACGTTTTAAGTATTGTTCAATCACTCTTATAGGCTCAAGTCCATCAAACGGTATTCCCATAGTTTTACTCTCAAAATCCCTTTCCAATCCCACAAATACCATATATCGTAGGTCTCCTGATTTTATTAAGGGACTCAGTGGAAAATGGATTTAAAAATCAGGCCAATTCACCGATTAAGTGATTTATGAACAATAGTATTAGGCTTTTTTTTTCAATGATTCTTTCAAAATTGATCTACTAAAGTGGTGAACCTCACGATCTCGGATTGACATAATCAATTGCATAATGTAAAAAATGAGACTGAGAAAAAATTGTGAAGAAAAGCATCTAGAAAAAATATAATTTTGTTAATTCGAATTGAAGTAATAGTTCATCCGTTAATAACGGTTCACCACTTAATAGAATTGATAATATCTTGAAAAAGAGTTTTATGAAAGATTTAACGTGTAAATGTAACGTGAACATCAGTAGCAACGAGACAATAGTCAACGTATTTCCAGAGGATTAAGATATCCTGCAATTTAAAGAGAGGAATATTCGTTCCATCCGCATCGAGATCCACACATCAGAGATATACAATTTTTTCAGAACATCGATTTATCACCGTTATCCCCATTTTTCTTCCTATTACATCGTTACACATTATTACGTACGTACGAATGTATAAAATCTTGTTTTTTTTTTATTTATGAAATCCTAACCGAAATGAAACGTCAGAGCCATCGTGAGACGACAGCTCTAGTTCCTGAATTACCGTTTCCATTCTTGTTTCTTTTTTCTATATAAATGTTAACACTGATGAAGCTTCGAAGCGTCTACGATAAATCCCCGAGGTCGTAAAAACGTCAATTGCATTCTCGAAATGACAAATGTTTTTTGACACTAAATAGAAATCGTTGAGATTCACATGCAAAGCAGATTTATTTCTCCACTGGATTTACGACATCGGGGTGAGTGAGGAGATTCCTCTACACTAATTTTTCAATGAATTCCTTCAAAACTGGATAAAAAAAAGACCATCGTAATTGCAAAATAATTTTGCCACAAAACACGAGTGAATAATCTGCTTGAAAAATTATTTTTTTTATGTCTGGAGGCAGTCGTTTGTGCGCCGTTAATTGAAAGACAACAGGCTGAGGGATTTATGACGTTTCATCATTTTTCTACATGATTTATTTATTTAATTTGTGTGATGAATGAATTTTACATGATTGAGTACTCGAGCGCCAGCAAATAATTCTCTCGATTTCGATTGGATGAGACTATCCTATGGCACAACTAGTTGATACTATTCTTTTGTGACTCAATACTCGAATTTTTCGATGAATTCATGAATTTAAATGCTATTTTGATCGTGGAGAACAAATTGTTCATGAATTTATTATGTACATGACCACAGATGCCCTTGACGAATTGTTCACAATGTAGCAGAGTACAAATCATCCGTTGGATGTGTAAAAACATTTATTGAGTTATCTTTTGGTTCTCGCTCGATTCCTGTTAACTGGACAATTCAATTTCTCTACTCAGAGAGGGAACATTAATTTCACTCTTGAAAATCGCTGACTCGTGGATTAAAATTGTTTAAATTTTTATTTACTGTATTTTCAACATTTCAAGTGGCTCCAGGGAACATGAAGGACGAGAGTTTCATCCTCAATGCGATTACCAACAAGAAATGCTTCCCACAAAATATAAAAACATCAAGTGACTCAGGGAATATTTCCTCTGCATTATTCTCCTCATATCCGTTATTCTGAACGTGATCGTCCAAAAAATTGGATTGAGCAAATTCCCTCCCCTGAAGCGTAGAATTAAATCCATTGAAAACCCCGACGCCTCTATCCACCGCTTTAATTAATTAGACGGAATGGTGTAAGCAAATATCATATCACTGCATGGCACAACCCAATTATCTCTCCATCAAATAATTGAGGATAAATCTCGTTCCTATGGTTCATTCAATTTACAATTGTTCCTTCAATAATAAAAAAATGTCCATGGAAAACTCGACTATTGACGATCGTCCCACCCCACGAATTATCCCTCCCCATCACATCAATTTTCCTCTGCATTAATTAAAAAAGCAACACCGATCTATCCTCCTCATTTCCTTAATCACTATCTCCACTCGCAATAAATAATTCGCTCTCGAGTATAATAAACACATTCACACGAATTTAATGGTATTTGCATTGACTCTACGTTATCCCGGGTGCACGATCGTCCGACAATTGATCAATTGCAAAAGAGATTGCTTTATTTTTTTTTTTGTAATTTTTTTTCATTCAATTTATCCTCTCTATGCAATATTATGTTAATCTGGATCAACGCAAAATGCGCTCTAGTGTTAATTATTGATATTAAGTGTAGGACCAAGCGCTATGTTTCTTTCATTGTTTCAGTAATTCTATGTAAATTCATTAGTCGCTCATTATTTATAATGGCTGTACTGCTTCGGATAAATCATTAAAAAATTCACTTACTTTATACACCATTTTTAGGTCCTTCTGTCACAGTTCGTGGATTCATTATTAATCGTTTGGGTTTTTCACGTGTTGTGTGTTTTGTCGGTGTTTACAGATTTTGGGTTGAAAATTCGTTACTAAACCATTACGATGGCCTCTTTGTCGCAGAAAAGGAAGGGGTACTGATCGATCATCGTTTGAACGACGTCCTCGAGGTATGGCCTCATTGCTTCGAATCTACCGAGGTCGTTGAACTCTATTGGCAATAGGGTAGGCCACCAGCATATGGCCAGATTCTTACTGTCCATACTGTTTAATTTGCAATTTTCGGCAACCCTACAAAGACAGATAAATGACAATAAAAAATATATACGAATGAAGGTTTTCCTCGGCTTAACAATTCCCATCACCAATTATCGAATGCAATTTTCTGGATACTTACTTTACAAAATGTTGAAAAATAAACTTGAGAACGTCAAAATTGACTGGATTCAATTTGTTGAGCATCAATCGTAGGGCGAGAAGTCGACAACTTCGATCTGGAAGAGACAATAAATTATATTATGAGAATAATCAATAGATAATTTATGAAAATTATTAACAATCGAGAGATGCAATGATTAATTCGACACTGACCTTCCATATTCATGCAAATAGCAGACATTGGCTTGCTGATACCTCGTGCACCTGATTAGGAATCACAAACACAAATAACAGAATTAGTAATTATGAAATATTTTAAAAAACAATTCTTTTGCAAGCATATCATACCAGATATGTCCTCCAACTCGGCCATGCGTTCCTTATCGATCAAGGGTGGTAATCTTTTCGAGAAAAAGTCCTTGAGGGCAGTGGCAACAGCATTCACAGGAATATCTAACGAGTGAATATCGACATTTCCATCCTCCTCGAATTTCTGGAAAAGCAATTCCACATGAGCTCGATTCCCTGGAACTCTGTATATTCCCTCAGAGTCGAGTCCCTCGTCCTCGATGAACCTAACGCACTTCTCCAGGAAAAGAGGTATTCTGTTGGTCTCACTCTGGGCAAAATCCTCGATGAGTGACTGCTGCGATTGTCCAGACATCGCCGAGCCTGGATTTGTCCCTTTGGTCTGCTTAATCTTCTCCTGCTTCTTCTTCTCCCGTTCCTTCTCTTTCTCAGCATTTTTCCTCAGCTTCTCTTCCTTCTGTCGACGTTTCTCCAGCTTCTCATCCTCCTTCGCCTTCTGCTTGTCCTTCTTTCTCGTCAGCTTGTCACCATCCTTACCCTTCATTAATATTCCAAACTGTAATAGCTCAAATTGTACACTCCTAACATTATATTAATTCTGCAGTGAAGCTGTACCCCTCAATGCAGAACCAGAATCTACAAAAAAATGTACCACTTCGCTACAGAATTAAATAGGTAAAAAATACTTACACCCGGGGAGTTGATCTCTCGAGGAGAGGAAACATCGAGGCTGGATTCATCATCTGAAAATATTTTCCCCAATGAAAAATTGTCTCTAAAAACTAAAATCTCAATTTACTCAGTTATTGTCTTGAATTCAATTAAACTGAGCTTTTTCATTCTCCATATTTCAATCATGCAATTAGATTGATACTTTCTCTTGTCATTCTAAGATTAGATAAACGGACTCACAGGACACACTGAACATATCCTGGGTCACGTGTTTCAGGTTGAATGGATGCTGTAGCGTTGCAGCTGAATTTCCAAATCTCTTTCTCACACTAACCGGCGCGTGTTTATTAGCTTTTAATCTTGATCTCGTACCGTGTTCAGGCTCACTAGACTCTGAGCTATCCGGTGTTTCGCTCGATACTGACAATAAACAACGACTTTTAAGCAACTTGTTTTCCCCCCATTGTTAATTAAGAAATTATCGATGAAACTGTAAAAAAATGTCCAATACCGGGGCAAAAGAAGGAAATAACTCAAATATTCTATTCCATGAAATATCAGCAATTTTTTAAATAAATAAAACCCTAGGATTCAAAAGCTCTTCGAGAGTGATCAAATGAATAGACCAAGGCTCTTACCCCTCTCGGTGAGATCAATCCGCCAAGTCTTATCATCCTTAACACTGTAATTGAGCCCAACAATGCCATCACCACTCGTCATGCTCCCAAGAGAAGGTACTTTGGGTGTAGCAACAGGAATTGCCGCCCTCTTCTTCCTGGTCCTCTTGTGGGTAGTTGGTTTTTTATTTGCTTTAGCAATGACATCAGCCACCCTCTGTCTCTCCAAAGAGCTCCACTCTGAGTCTGAGTCACTGTACGAGGGCTGTCCCTTCTCCCTCCTGTGTCGCAATTTTGATTTATTATTTGTAATTGAGTCCTGGACTAATGCATAAGCGTACTCTCCCTCGTACGATGGATATAAATTCGGCACAACATCTTTGGGATGGGCATACTCGAGATCAACTAGCTCAGGTGTTGCTAGCGGTGCATGTCCCATTTTCGATGAATGCTCAACTTTTTCACCGGTATTCATGCGTGCTATTGCGTCAGTTACATTTGAAAAATCCTTGAGATTTATTTTTCCTGGTTGTTTCAGTGTTTGACTGTTGCCCTTGGGTCGTGATTTTATCTGGGGGATGTGACGACGACCCGTTGTAAATGCACGGTGGGAGTAGGAGTTCGAGACACCGTCTTGGTGCATAAATGTATCTTTTACCCAGCCTATCAATTTTTAATGAAACATAACGTTTAGAGGATGGATAATATAATTTATCATCACAATACATCAATCTGTCGTTGAATGAAAATTAAATTCACTGAAAATATATACCTGTCAATTTATTAGCGAAATCTCCTCCCTTGAGCAGCTCTCGCTCTCGCTCCTCCCGATGGAAGTCCACTTGACTGTAAATGTCACTGTCATCGCTGGGTGTTGCACGATGATCATTGAACTGCTCATTGAGCCCAGGATCACCTAGATCACCGTCTGGTGTAAGTTGCTCGTACGACTCCGATCCACTTCTGAAAGTAACAGACATACTGTTTCGCATTAGATTTTTCTGTTGGACAGAAGACCTGTGGGGATGATTAATCACTTAAAAATCATTATTAATATCAATAAAATCTGCTAAATGCTCGAAAAAAAGATTAAACCCTAACTAGAAATGAATTGAAGTGTTGAAATGGTTTGATTACAACATAAATTAATTATCCACTTGCATAATTACATGCTAAGATGCCTTACCCGTCATCTGGTGTCTGCAGATGATAACTCTCGTGTCTCGGTGGTGGCATAGGATGTAGTGCAGAGTACTCCAAAGTGCCCTCTCCACTGTCATTGAGATTGCCAGGTTCCTCCATGTTGAAGGCCTGCTCAATCTCAGGCTTCTTCTCCCAAACTTCCTTGAAGAACGGCGTGTAGAAAGCAGCTTGAAAAATAAATGAATAATCCAATAAGAAGCATTCTCCCAACGCACATGCTCCTAAACAATAAAGTCTCTTTACTTTTCTGCTGACAACTGGACGCTGACGTCATGAAATGCGCCTGCAAACGATCTGCGGTTGCGTTTCCTTCAGTGATAAGTAGATGACTGAGATCACTACTGAAAAATGCATTGGCCCCTCCAGTGTCGGTGACAGCCATTATTTGAATCGGTAAATTTGGAATGTTCATTGAGAATGCATTCAACGTTGCCAGCGATGCTTTTCTCTTCGTTGAGTACACGAGTATGAATCCGTGGACTAATTCCTCCCTGAAGGCATTAGCACCATGAAAACTTGAGATTATCACCTCGACTCGTCTTTTTGACTCTCCCAGGAATGTCTCAAGAACTATTGACTTTTCACCACTCAGAAAGCAACACTGGTGACTCAACAGAGGGCCCAGGACGTTCTCCACTGAATAAGGATCTCCACAGAACATGCACATGATTATCCTGAAATTACAGTAAAAGAATTCATGTTTTTTACATAATTTTCATCTTCAAATTCATTTTACTCCATAAATTTTTTCTGAAGGGTCCTCTTCAAGGATTTGGGGAGAATTCCTGAAGGGTATTATGGAGATGTTTACCTGATGTCAGGCTCCAAGCACTCGATAACACTCTGGTAAATGTTCAAGAAGCCAGCCCGATGGTTTATCGACTGTATGAGCTGCTGCAGGGCGTCCTTAACAAGGGAACTTGGAAAACGCTTGTCAGGCTCTAAATCTTCGATGCAAACGTCGATAAAGGGACACTGCAGGCTGTCAGCAAGATTTTGCCCCTCCTCTCTGAGCCTCATCGCCTCCATCTCATCAATCGTCGATTCGGGGATGAACATTATTACTATTGGAAGACCCTGAAAGGGTAATCTGTCCTCCTGCTCGAGATTCGACAGGAGAGTCTTCTCCAGGGATGATCTTATGTACTCAAATGAGTCTTCGTTTGAGTACACGCAGAAAGATCCTGAGAAAAATAATTTTCCTCAATGAAAAAAAAAAATATCCTCCCTCAATGAAAATGAATAGACTGTAGGTATTTACCATGTGGCATGAAATCGGAAGTTGTAAATGAATTGTGTGGCAATCCAACGTCACCATCAATAACCCTGTATCCAAGTGTATACAACTGACAATCAATTTCCACCTCGTCGTCCTCGGTTTGAGTTTTTATTTCATGGGCAAATTCATTTCCCAAGCCATTGCTGCCTAGTATAACCAAATTTAACTGATTATTCTCGGACGTTAATTGCCATTGACTACTGTGGTTCCACGAGGAGGGCCTGCAAAGTTTGATGTGATTATTGCGTGTAGCACATTGATGAGAGCATTTATTAATTCATTCATGAAGAACGAGGGGATGGGTGTGCGGAATTATTTTACATACCTGTGGGCTTTTGTACCCAGTATTCGTTCAATCAGCGCGTCCATGCAATTTGGAAATGCCGGACAGTGTTCGCGAATAGGAAGATGAACAAAGCCCAAATGTTGGAACAACATTAATTTGCGATCCTGGTCGAGTCTGTCCAGGGTCTTGTACCTATTTTCATTTATGTATATCATTAAATTTTTGTAGTTCTGTACTTTTTAATTAACCGAAAATTTAGTAACAAAGGACTAAAATATATTTGATGTATTTGTATTTCACCGCTTTGCTACTAAATTGTGAAATTTTTTTTACTCATTATTTCAAATGAATGACTTTTTACCTAAAATCGTCGAGTAAGGCGTCTGTAATTTCCTTAATATCATCTTGCGTAATAGTACCAGACGGTGCTATGCTCTTAAAATGGTAAAACAGGTCCGCATGTTCCAACAACAACTCCTAAAAAAAAGCCCCCAATAAATCACTCAAAACTCCCACCCAGAACTTGCATTTTCCTGGATAAAAAAAAAATGCAAACCTGAAAATTATGCTTAGCACGTTCAATAATTTCCTTCTGATGTTGATCGTAAATCTCCTGGCAATCGTGATGTGAAAGTGCCTCAAAACACTCGCGTCCCATAAACAATACTCGCACCTCTGACAAGTGCTTCCCAGGCGTGACATATCCAGTTTCCTCCAGCAATTGTTTGAACTGTTTTTTCCATCTAATGGAGACATCCAGATTTAAATGACTCATCAGTACATTTAGGAGAAAAAAATCTAACAAAATTATGGGAATTGAAAGAAAGCAGTTGAAGTTCAATTTATTTTACTGTTACTTTACCAGTCAATGGAGTTAATTCAATTATTCAATTAAATCTGAATGAGTGAAAGAAAATTAATTCATGCGGGCACTGAGTCATGTTAAATAGCCATTCAGTTGGCATCTCTTAAGCGCTAAGAAGCAAATGTTCATTACCTTTTTGGAAGTCTGCGTAAAGAAACGCCACCCAGAACGAAGCAAAAGCATCAAATTATTAGTATTATATCTACTTAACGACTAGTTTGGCACGATTAAAATTATATCAAGTAAACGTATCTATTTTTCGAGATACCTATGAAAAATTCTATAATTCTATAATTATTTCTATAATATTCAGGAATTTGAGCGAACGTACTCGAGTCTTCTTTGCTCCTGCTGAAGGGCATTGATGTGATTTTTGAAGACTGTCTCAGCCTCGGGTGTCTCTAGAACGTCGTAAGGGATTTTCGTGGTATTATTCTCCCCAAAGTCGTAGTCGATCCACGAAATGTCCTCTGGACACTCATAAAAATGTTGATGGAAGTCTGGGTGCTCTTTTATGTACTGCTGCACCGTAGACCATTCCCTACAATTAATGAGGATATAGAGCGATTTCTTTTCTCTGTGTCGACAAGGCTGAAACTTACTCGTTAATAAGACTGGAAATGTCAGGACAGATCTCGTGAAGAATTTCGGGGAGCATGTCCAAGTAGCCCTGAATCTTCTTAGCCACTTGCTCATCCTTAAGTTTCTTAATATGACGCCTGAACAATCTCTGCGTAGCATCAATTCCAAACAACTCGACAAAGTTCTGAAATTCCTTGTGCTGTCCAAGTTTCTTGGACGCCTGTGACCATAAAGCCCGATAATCCGTCACGTGTATTCGAATTAATCTCTGGAGTGATTCCGTCGATGCATCGAGTAGTTCTTTGCGTGCTCTAGCTGCCTCAGCAAATGGTACAACCTTACTCCTCATTTTCGTTTTATCAATAATTTGTGCCAAGACTAGAAATGCATTGTCGATGTTAATATTTTCATGCGCTGACGTTTCCACGACAACTATTGAATTTTTGTACTCCTTTCTCATTATCAATTTCTCAGCCTCCTTCACGTATTGCTCATTGGCATCGTCATTTTTCGTTGTAACGAGTACAACGGGCTTTTTAGTTTTTATCAAATTATTCAGAATATTGGCTACAATCTCAATCTGCTTCTCGATTGTACGATTTGGTACGACACTCACATCGAATACACATAAAAAACCATCGATGTTTAGTTTACCATCGGGTAATACTTTCTGCTCGTATTCCTTCTCAATTCCAAGCTGATTCTTACAAATGTACATTAGTTTTTCAGCGCTCGTTATTTTTGTTCCTGAGCATCTCTTGGCGTATGGCTCCATTTTACCACCCTTGAATGGTTGAAATGAAGCATCGTCTATGAACTCTGTGTGCTCTATCACTTGAAAGTTATACTCTGTACCATCTTCTGCTGCTTTAATCACTTCACCCCAGTAGAGGAAGTGATCGTTGTTTACTACGCGACCACTAAAATCCGACTGTAATCCAAATTTTTTATCACCGCATTAACAGGCTGGAATTTTAATGACTCCGGGTAGTCTTCCGGACTGAATATTTCCGAGGAAGATCAAAAAAAAATTACATTGACTGATCGATATACATTTTACAATACTTCAAAGGATAAAAAAGAATCCTGAGAGAATCCTGAGAAATTATTACAAAAAATGTAGGACTAGGATAATTGGTTAATAAAATTATAGATGAAGATAGATGTTATTTTTACCTGTGACAGGACTGAAATATGATCAACACTGTAGTCATCGCTGAGTGATCTCATAAATCTATTGCACAGGCATGATTTTCCAACGCCAACCTGTCCTTTGTCCTTTTCAGTACCAGACAGGCCAACGACTGCCACGTTTATCCCTTTCAAGTTATCGTTTTTTCGGGCCATTGTTTATACCGATTAATTTGCCGAATCGCCAAAAACCGAATATTCAATAAATTTATCCCAATTCTCCTGCCCTTTACTGATTTATCCGAAAATTCAACTTCAAAATTGATTGAGACCTTGAGGTATCCAACATTGGACACAACTGCCCTTGTTATACGTTCTTCTAAATAATTAGCGAGTTCTGTTTAGTATCTTTGGTCGGTCTACTGCAAATTAACACGTATAAAAATCAGAGTTCCCCTTCGGCAACATTTTCGCCAACTGCTTCCACTTCCTCCTCACAAATCACCGATTGAAGTTTAATTATTTAATCCCGATGCCCCGCACATCTTCGATTATTTATCACAAAAAAACTCACTATACCGTTACGTCAATCCTCACTGTTATGTATAAAAAACATTCGTTGCATTTGGTGTTTACTATTCGGAATTATAAATTAGTGTGGAGTATTAAAATCATGGATCTATTCTTAATTATTTATTTTTATTGAATTTAAATATTTTATCACGACTGTGAGCAACGTTAGTCTGCAATGGCACTGATTTGTCTGGAATAGAGAAAAATATCTGCTTCACACAAAGTTTTTCTGTCTTTCCTACGATAATGGATTTTATATACTAAAGTAATGCAGGAGAAAATTGAGTGGTGACAGCGTAGGAGGCATGCACTGAAAAATTTTGTTATGACCTTTTTCGTAGATCAAAATGAGCCGTACAAAAAAGGTTATGACGGACATTTTCATATGGGCTATAAATTCCGAGATATTCACGAAAAACTGACCAACAGTCAAAATCGATTTAAAGCGTTTTACCACTTCGCTACTGAAATTTATTTAACACTGGTAAATTTTATTGGGAGAAATCATTTTATTTTTCAATGCGAAATTATTAATTGTTACAGTGCACATTACATGTCAATTAATTTCGTTTTTCATTAATTAAAAAAATGATCAAAGTAAACGCGTGAAAAAAACGAGCCTCAGGTTTCACCACTTGACACGATATTCCCGACACATTTCTCTGACATTTCCTGCGGACAAAAATTTATTGATTGATCCCGGTAGACATTAGGTTAACAATTCCCGGAATCTGTCACAACAATGGAAAATCCAGTGTGTCAGACAGCGAGGTACAAAGCCATCGAAAAAAATGTCCCCCATGTAGACGAACAACCGAAAAAAGATAAATGAACGAAGGATCCCATAATGCTGTCCCCCGAATTTTTCAATAATTCATGAATCAGAAAAATTGAATGAAGTAAAAAATGACGAGTACGAATAGATCAATATGCATTGTACACAAGCGTGGAGGTTGAATAACGCGAATGAAATTAGCCGACGAAATCGTCGAGAGACAGCTCTCAAGACAATTTTCCCATAATTTTCTTGTCAATACCCCCAAGTTTGAGTGGTTCCCCCCGACTCTACGAATTTTTTTAATGAAAAATCAGATGATGATGCCTTGGAGCTGAATATCACTGTACTGACCTGTCTGGCACGCCAGCCGGCCGTCACTTTTGTTAATAATCAATCCACTTTGAAACAATCGGTGTGCCTCAATTGGCTGGCACTTGCACGCACTTTTAAAATAACAATTGTTGTAATTGATTGGGTAAAATTGTGGGTGATTACTGATTAGATGTTGAAGTTAATGAGGAAAGCATGTAAATAAGTGGAACGTCAAATATCGAGTACTGCTCCAGCAGCGGAGCCATCTTGGTGGGTGGGCACACGACGATCGATGTTTTTTGAAAACCGTGATTTTTGGAATGTTTTGGAGATGAATAGTACAGACAGGCCCCAGGGGACACAAAAAAAAATCTCTCAAATTACCCACTGAGTCTATCGATAAAACAACTTTCTAGCACAATCTGGGGGTTTGAGTGACCCACCGGCATTGTAGTACCTCACCCCAAGAGAAAGAGGACGCAACATGGAGCATGAGCTTGATACTTTTTTGAAAATTTGGAATTTTTCAATTTCAGTGAATACCTCCTGAATTGTCATGTTCCCCTGATACTTTTTCAAAAATTTTGAATTTTCAAATTTCCGTGAATACCTCCTCGATTTTCATGCTCTCCTGATACTTTTCTAAAAATTTCGAATTTTCAAATTTCAGTGAATACCTCCTCCATTTTCATGCTCCCCTCATACTTTTCCAAAAATTTTGAATTTTCAAATTTCCGTGAATACCTCCTCCATTTTCATGCTCCCCTGATACTTTTTCAAAAATTTCGAATTTTCCAATTTCAATGAATACCTCCTCCATTTTCATGCTCCCCTGATATTTTTTGAAAATTTTGAATTTTCAAATTTCCGTGAATACCTCCTCGGTTTTCATGTTCCCTTGATCGATTGGTAATTAATGGTACCCCAGATATTTATTCCGCATACAATTATTCAACAGAGATAATTTATTTCGGATCTTCTTCAAAATTAAAAATTATGGTAGGTTTTCGCCTAAACTTGTTATGATAAGTTCCTTCACTTGAACATTCTGTGGTTTACCGAGTACGTGGATAATGCTATCTGCAACATCTTTGGGTTGCAGAACTGGTAATCCCAGCTTTGTTAAATCAACTGGTCCCATCAAGTTGGTCTGCACTAGACCGGGGCTGATACTCTGAAATTGGGAATAAAATATAATTAAAATTGTCCCTTTAATTTTGAAAAGTTGCCTCACCGTTACACGAATATTTTGACCCATCACTTCTCTCACAAGAGTTTCAGAAAATCCGGTGATTGCATGTTTACTGGCAATATAGATATTTATATCCTCTCTCTCAGGCTTTACAGCTCGGTGGCCAACAATACTAAAAATTCATTCAAAAATGATGAACTTTATTCCAGAATTCAATCGGGAGTTCGTATTCAGCTAAAGATTGATTTTCAATGTACCTGTTAATATTGATAATATGCCCCGGTAAATTATCAGCTTGTATTACTTTCAGTGCCTCTCTTGCACAAAAGACTGTCCCCATAACATTGACGTTAATAATATTTTGCAATGTAGCATTTTCTAGATCTGTAAAATACAAAATGTACGAACACAATGTGAGTCCCAAAAAAATTAGTACTTTCCGTTAAAAAATGACAAATTTTTGATTACCGGTGAATTTCCCCTTCACTAAAATACCTGCGTTGTTGATTAGAACCTGAACTTTGCCAACATTATTTTTGATCCACTTAAAACTCTCCACAACGTCATTATCATTACTCACGTCGCATTGGATAGCGTGAAATTTACCCCTTGCCTCCGGCATATCGTTCATTTCAGTCTGGAATTAAAATCAGTCAAAATAAAGTTAGCAATAAATAATTCAGAATTATTACCTCCATTCTGTCCTTTCGCCTGGCTAATCCCACAACAATCATTCCACTCTGAACAAGTGCTTTTGCTGTTGTCAATCCAATTCCAGAGGATGCTCCAGTGATAACAGCGATTTTTCCTATCCAACGATCCATTTTCGTCCTCTGGAATTCTCACCTGAAGTGCAGCGAACGTCTAAAATGAATTGCAACTGCAATACGAAGACCACCTAAAAGGCGATATCTTTTGCGTTTAACTCATTAATGCAATAAGATCACATTTTCCTATCGGCATCGCTTCTTTGTTAATGATAGTAGACCCGCATTAATTACGACCCGCGATAAGTAACATGATAATATAATTGAATTGATTGTGCATTTGTTCATACGAATACTTGCGATCAATTCACTAAAAAAATTACAATAAATCCGTTCTGCCAAAGAAATTGGAAATCTATTGAATTAATTCGTCTGCATTAAAAAGGGCAATTGAAAGAATAGGTAATAAAAGAGTAGCCGGCAATGATTTTCTAGTTGAAGATGAATTCAAATAAAAATTGCAACTCCAGCATTTGAATTTTTTGTTTTACCAGTGTCTAAAAGAAATTTTGAAAAAAAATTTTTAAAAAATTTTCTAAAAAATTTTGAAAAAAATTTTGACCGGTTCACGGGATGAATGTTATTTTCTGCGTTGAAAATGAAAATGAAAAACATCTAATTTCGTACCGCAGAGAATAACATTCATACCATTGACTGATCCCTCTGACAGCGGAACTGCTACTGAGGCGTTACCGGCTTGATCGACGCAGAAACCCCAGTCGTACTCGTGGCGCCCTGCCTCCCGTGGGGTGCAACTACGTTGTCAGCTGGGGTCACTCAAACCCCTAGAACTGAACCTCTACTTTAGTCTATCCTCTTTGCATTGAATAATCCAACGATTCATTTGATCACTCGAGTGTGAGCTGTCGTCAGAGGTATAAGTTAATTCGAAGATCAATTTTTTAAAAAATGGTTAAAGCAGTCTGTGTACTCCAGGGTGATGTCAAGGGGACCATTTTCTTCGAGCAGGAGGTGAGACACTGATTTTTACGCCCTGATATTTCATAATACTATACAATATACTCCGGATTCAGGTACGACGCATTTCCGGAAGTCTGTTGCATTAATTTTGTATCTTCTTTTTTGCAGAATGACTCGGCACCAGTGAAGGTCACCGGTGAAGTAGCCGGTCTTGCCAAGGGTCAACATGGCTTCCATATCCACGAATTCGGGGATAACACCAACGGTAATTTATTTATTCATCGAAGTATTGATTTTTACCTTCACTTAGGGCAGATGTTTCGAGTACTATCGATATCAATCGATGCTTGTATCTCACGTATCGTATCTAAACACTTAATTGCTGGCTCAATATGACTTGCATAACAAATTGACGTTCGGTCTTATAAATAAGCATTTCTGTTCTGATTACATTTTCCGCTCTGTGACTGTTCTAGAATTTTTTTTTACAAATTTCAAGAGTCGAAGTGTGTGGTAATTGCACTGGGTAAAGTTCAATATTTGCAAATTGGATATTGATGCAGTAAAAATGTTGGTTTTTATTTGGGAGCTAGGGGAATCTTTTAAAAATTTTTTTTCGTGTTTCGATCGAAGGATGCACAAGTGCTGGACCGCACTTCAACCCTCTGGGGAAAGAACACGGTGGACCAACTGATGGTGTACGTCATGTAGGTGATTTGGGTAACGTTGAAGCTGGTACTGATGGCGTTGCCAAGGTCAACATCTCTGACAAACAGATTCAGCTCCAAGGGGCTCACAACATCATCGGCCGAACTCTCGTGGTCTGTATTTTTCCCTGACCATAAAAACATTCTAACGCGTGAATTATTTCAAAAATATATTAACGCGTAATATGACAGGTCCATGCTGACATTGACGATTTGGGAAAAGGTGGTCACGAGCTCTCCAAAACCACTGGAAATGCTGGGGCTCGTCTTGCCTGCGGTGTGATCGGTATCACCAAATAAAATTACAAATAAAAATCCCAGGAATAATTTTAAAAAAATATTAACCTGTAACGTTCATCACTACTTTCAAAGTAGTGAATTAAAAATGATCTATCATTCCTGAAATCGTACTGCATTATCAATACATTTGATGTATATGAATTGTTGATGAACCAGTCTTTGAAAAATATAATACTAGGTATGTATTACCAATATAAAACATTTTTACAATCTTGCATATGTGGTTTTTCAAATCTTCATTAGTATTTATATAATATTTATATGATCATATTAGGATCATGGATAGAGCTCCTTCGAAAAAAATTAAACATAAGATAGTTGGAGTAAACAATTGGTTTGGTGTGAAAATTTGAGAATCACATTCCCCCATTACTATCTAAATGCCTGGTTGGAGTAACGCCTATGGTACTGAGTGGGTGGTGGACTCCTGCTCATGATGGCCATCGGTGGAGGATTTCGAGGGCCAGAATTACCACTGAATAGCATGTAGAACAGCCATAGCAATCCACCGAAGCATTTTGTCAGGACTTCGTAGAATCCGAAGATTATCGGCGTCAGGGCTCTTATCAAATGTGATAACTCTCGAGACAATCGCAGGGTATATTCACTTACGTACCACAGGATATTTCCAATTACGGTTATTATACTCATTACTAAAACCGCATTGAATTTTGTTACATCGCAGAGATTTTGGTATGTAAAAATCTGGAATTTCAAGGGAAATGCAAAAAATATTTGAGCACTTTATAAATCCAAGGCTATGAATCGATCTATGCAGTTGCGTTTTACCTGTTTTATGTCAAAAGCCGCGAGATCTTTGGAGTCATTGAAAAATAATGCTTGTTCTTTGTCTTTGTACGGTCTCAGATACTTCAGCTGCAGTTGAATTGAATTCTGATTCATTTTCAGGGATCGAATCTGGAACCAGTGCTTTCCCAGTGGCACTTGATCAAGCTCCACCCAAAGATTGTAATTTACTATGCTATTATTCTCCATATTACCTGAAAAATCTCTCATTGTTAGTGAAATCATAAACTCTCAATCTCTAGAAGCGATTAATTGTACTCACAAGTAATGCCCAGAAACTTCTGCTGCCCAAATTCTTTCCGAACGACTTTCTGAATCTCAATCAAGCACTTGATCACTTCAGTCTCCTCTTTATCGATAGAAACGATGTCTCTTTAAAAAAATATAATAGGTACGCGCCAATCATGACAGTAAACAATTATGACGTCAATTTTTTTTATTGATAGTCATCAAATCTCTTTAGATTAAGATAATAAATTCATTTACCTATAAGTTGGTACTGACTGGACATATCTCTTCTCAGTGTAGGTCCCAACAAAAACTTTTTTAGATTGTTTTACCATGCACATTAATTTACTCATGGAATCACTGAGATCATCACTCGCTATCGAGGAGTCCATGGACGAGTTCCTCCTCAGGCTCATCTTCCTCTGAAAATAATTTCTACGTAAATGAATGAAAAACTTTCAAAATTGTCGACTTACTTTATTATTGTTGGTAATTAAAATAGTGGAGAATCACAAATCACCGCTAGAAGCCGTTGATCGTCTTTTTTTGGTTTCATTTATTAGAAAACACAATCAATATAATTCCTTCCTAAAAACATCAGCCGAAATAATATTCCACTCCACTTGCTTTACAATTAGCAATTTTATTATTTAGAGTACTAAGAATACATACGTGCACATTCCTTCTGTGGATCGTGGTACATATTATCCATAAAATTGTGAATGTAACTCCTAATCATTAGAGCAGCGGGACAGTGGGACTGCTACTGAGGCAGTTACCGAGTCGGCTGAAGGGCAGACACCCCATTGCGTGTGGCGCCCTCCATCTCTTGGGGTGCAGTACTACGATGGCGCCGGGGTCACTCGAACCCCCAGAACTGTGCCTCTACTTTAGTCAATCCTCTTTGTCTCCATCGATCATTAATTGCAACAAAGTGTTGATTATTCCTCCTGTTTATTCATTGTTGATTAATTATTGATCTGATTATAATGCCAAAGAATAAAAAGCGGAAGGGTTATTCTCAACTGAGAGAGAAGAATGCAAAACTGAAAAATGGGGTGGAGGCAACGTAAGTTAAATAAAGCTAACGATTTTCATTGTTTCATGAAAAATGTTTTTTTTTCATTCATATGCTTTTCGTTACAGAAAATCGTCGGTCAAAAAACCCTTGAAAAATATTAATGGCTCAGGGGAAGATTCTCGATCTCATACCTCTGAAGATGTCGTATGTACTTATTCCTAAATTGACATGAAGACATTGACATTTGATCAGTCAATTCCTTTTATCATTGAAATTGAATTATTTGCTTGCAGGAGATTATTGACAGACAGAGAGAGATAGCAACGACTGCATCTCAGAATCATAATGACGTGAACATGAACGATAACGATGTGGCATACGCCATGAAGGCTGTGGATCAGAACATGCACAAATTATTTGATCGTATCAGGTATTCTGAAGATGCTGTTTCAACTTTACCTGACAGATCTTGGGCGATTCACTGTACAGAGCTTCCAGTTAAAAGGATTGTTATCAGTGAAATGATAATGCATAATATCGGTGGCTCTGGATTAGAGCCTTTTTACATTAAACAGGTAATTGAATGAATAATTTTCCGAATCAAATATGGAATGGAATGTTCATACAATGAATTCCCAAAAATTACAATGAGTTGCAGATTGTTTTCGATGAGAAGCTAAACTTCGAAATCTTCCTCTTGAACTCGCGAACGGTCTTAAAAGACAAGCCCTCGTCGATCTGCAGTATGGAGGACTTCGAGGCCCTTCTAGATCACGTCCAAAGTCTGAAATTGTGCTCAGGAGGTCCTGATCATGAGCAATACAGTCATTTAACTCCTGAGTGCGCTTATAAGGATCCAACAAACAAATGGCGTCACAATCTGTGCACTCTCGAAGTAAGTGGCTGCGAAACCTGCGATTCTTGTCAATCCTTGGAGGAAATTCTTAAGCGTCATGCACAAAGAGTCAAGCCGTCTGTTAAGCACAAAAATGTAATCATGTCTAGCAGGAAGCGTCCAGGCCAATCCAAGGACACGTAGAACTCCAGTTATATACTCTGTGATGCATTTGAGCAAATTATTACCTAATTCAGATTTTTTTAATGTACATAATATTTGTTTCGTCATTTCTTCCACAACGAAAATGTAAATAAAAATTAATGCTCGTTGAAAATTGCAGTTTTTTATTTGAAATAGCTTTCAAAGAAATCGAATGATTTTATTTCTATCATTTTATAATTTATTTCATATAAACATTTGATACATTTTCGAATTCATTTCTTCTTTTTTGTAGTTCTTAGATTTAGCGATATGGATACTGTTGATTAGATCCTAGGGAATCAATTACTCTGAACATAAAAATTGATGAAGAATAATTCACAATTTATCTCGTATTTTTGTTTTTTTTTCGGTTTGGCATGATATGATACAATAGATTTTTCGTTAATTTTTTTCTATCAATTAGATCGTAATACATGGGAGGGGTATCAAATAAATACATTTTCGTGTGAATTATTAGGGAAATAGTGATTTTCATGGAATATTGAATAATTATTAATGATATGTCATTATCGCCGCAATTGTTGGGACGAACTAAGCCTTACCAAAAGTATCTCCAATTTAATTACTCCCGTTCTTTTCACATTTTACCTATATATTTAATTCTTCTCTTCAATATAACTATTATTCAACATTGAGTTTGGAGATTTGACTGATAATCACGATTTCTCAGAGACTACTGTTCAGTTGTCGTACCGATATTCATTTCAATGGAAGGGAGTTCTTACTTTCATGGACTTTTCGATTACGTTGTAATGTGAAACGAGACAATCAATCGTATGCAACAATCGTAAATTTAGTGAAATTAAATCATGAGGCATGTATCGGAGACTCAAATTATTTAAAAAAAACACGATTGATCCAGAGATATTTACAAACCTATGAATAGATCCATTTGAGAATTATAAAAAAACTCAAGTTCATTATTTTGGAAATATCTCCGATGCTAGTGGATTTCGAAAAAAATACCGATCGATACTTCAAATTTCAAGGAAAATCTGCAATACAAAACTCCCATCATGTTTTATTCTAAAATGCAATAGATTCTGAGAAATTAGTAAAATAATCGACAAATAACTATCAACTAATTTCTGAACTGATCCCTCATTGCCCTAACTCCACTTCTGAACAATTTTGGAGGTGTCTTTGTAAAAAAAAAAATTGAGAAGATTACTGAGGAAGTGTTCTGTGAGATCCCAAAATACTCGTAATCGTAATTTCCTTTCATTCTACAGTGAATTATGCTGAGAAATCAATATTTAATCTACTCATTACAGAATATCATGTTGTAAATATACAATTAATATACATCAATGCTCTTATAAGAGAACATCCTTGCATCGGAAGTGAAAGTCCAATCATTCGTATCAACTCATAACTCTCCATTTCTCACATGAGTCCCAAAATAATGCAAGTTGTTCTCAGGAAGAGCACAGTAGGACTACTAAATTCGCATTATACATGGACTAGACTCGATTTCTTAATTAACTACTAGAAACTTCTCCTTCGCTGCTAATAACTCGAAGAAATTCAATTAAATCGTTTAAAGGAGGTACTAAAGACAGTAATTCATTGCACTCAGTTGCAAAGTCAATTCTCCAATGAATTTCCCGAGAAATTTTTTCCCTGATTTCCAAATTTCGCAATAAATAATTAAAATCATTTTTCTCGAATAGTACGAACACCAATTCAAATGAATTAATAATGAAAAAACACTTTGGCTTTGCAAATGAGAACTATTATTTTACAGATATTGGAAGGCTCATCTAGCTTCGCTAAATACCTAAACGCATTCGGTTATTTTCTTCTTCACATAAATAGTGTATAAATTAATTAAGTACAAAAATTACAAACATATTAACAAAATATTGGCAAGACTGGGAGGGGAGGGGAGAGAGGGGTAAAGGTTTTGATAAAGTAGGCTAACAATTTATTCTGGATGTCCATTCGCTCGCTGTGTGAAGTTAAACAATAAATTCAAATATTCACGAGGATAATCTAATCAAGGCGTTTTTCTCAAGACAGAAAATTATGCCACTACCCTTCGTCAAACAACTTTCACGCTAATAAATATTAAAATCATGTACGTCTCTGACGATTATTGTGTTTTTGCAATTTACCTAACACATATCACAGAATACGTATTTTATTTTTCTGTAGAAAAATTATACAAGCATGACGTATTGTACATAATTGATGACAGTTTTAGGGGCGAGAGAGGGAGGAAGATAGGCCGAAATTTGTTGCTATTATTGAATGACGAGGAGAGGTCATTTGAAAATGAGAAATATGAAAATATAGTGCAATTAGACTTGACCGCTAGGTAAGTTCTCCACAAATATTTCCGAATTCGAGGTAAATTATCATTGCTTCTTTTATAGAGCATCGGAAATTCGTATTAATATGGGGTCCGGGTCTGAGAAACTAACGATAAAAAAACTCATGAGGTGCTCTACTGACAAGCGAGCTCTACTGACTTACGAGCTACTGTCGAAATATTTGAAATTTTTTTGCCCATTGAGTGGTTCACCGAATACCGAATAAAAACAAAGCAAATACCTATCTCTACATTTTATATTTTTCGACGGAGTCCTCAAGGCCAAATTATTTAGACTCTTTCCCTCAATATTAATATCTTTCTGTTCGATAAAAATGTAGTAACGAAATGCTTCGCGTTCCTCACATTCGGAAATACCAACAAAAATCAATCTCATCTTGAAATACATCTCCAGTTCATCATTCACACGTACATGAAATATTTTACCTAATATTTTTCACAACCCAGTGACATTTGCGCTCATTTGATATGTTATTTTCATTAAAAACGTAACGAAGAATATGCGAGAGAGAAAATTGAGAGAAGAAATAAATCTCACATTACCAATATGATACAAACATAATAAATCATCGAACATGGTAACATTGATCATCATTGGACTGATGCGCTGTCACATTATTGCTACTGGTTGAGCAGAGTATTGGTCACCTCAGAGATGGACAACAGAGGACTCCCGGCGTCCGGTTTGGTATCTGGGAGGCAGCTGGTACCATTGTGGCACCCGAGGAGACTGCGTGATGTGACGGATGATACAAGACGCTGTTGGTGCTGTTGGTTTCCTGTACCGTGGACATGGATGTGCCTGTCCCCGTTACCACCGACGATGGTGATGAGCTGAAAACACCAATCAGCCATCCTTATTATTTCGGCTCATCAACTCCTTTTTTCCGGTTCGTCTTAAGTCATTTTTTCACGAAAATATTTATTTTTCTTTGTCATCCCCCGGTCTGAGAGGAATTTAATGTCATTAACGGAGGGAATGTATATGGAATTGAATATTGGTCGATGAAAAAATTCAATTTTTCAAAAAAATTACTTTCCTCCCTAAAAAATTCGAGATCAGCCCCTGGGGCTGGGGTGAGTAACAAAATTGATGATTTTACTCTAGAGGGGGAATGCAAGTGAAATCAGCGATTGGTTAATGAAAAAATCTAAGTTTCTCAAAATTTTCACTTTTTCCAATTTCCAAATATCTTGATCAACCCGCGAGGGTGATGAAAGAAAAAATTTCATTTCATATTTCTCCGTGTGCGAGGGTCGCATTATGATCTACAGGAGAAATACATATAAAATCAACCGTCGGTTAAACACCAAAAATAGATTAGGATCTGAAAAAAAATGCAAGCAAGTGCCAAAACGGGAGAGAACGCAAACGATCGAAAAAGGTAAAAAAAAAACCCCAAAAAAACTGCACCCCCCAAAAAAAAAGAAAACTCGTGAGGCAGGGTGACACTCACTGGGGCGTGTGCCTTGGTGCGGGGTGGTGGTAAGGATAGTACTGGTAGTGATGGTGTTGGACTCCTTGCCATACCTCGGAGCCCGTCTCGTGCGGATGTCCCTGATGATGTGAGTACCCCCCACTCCCATAATGCACAGCAGTAACTGAATACTGCTGATGCTGTTGAGTTTTGCCCCTGGGACTGGTGGGCCCAGTCTGCCCAGTGGGTGACGCCTGTTTCCACTTGCAGTCGCCATTGATGGTGTTCATCTCAGCGAGACTCTTGAGAGGATCGACATTGGTATTATTGGAATGCGATGAGTGAGTAGAGTGAGGCGTTGGAGGGCTATAGCTCCCATTATTTCTCGGTGGTGACCTAGAGGGTGGAGGCCCCCACATGAGAACAGTCTGCCGGGGTGCCTCACTCCCATATATCTCTGGCTTCACATCCTCCATTTTGGGTGTTCTCACGCCATTAGCTGCAGTGACAGGTGAACTTCCCGCTGAATTACTCGAGGAGGCGCCCTCCAGGGAGTGCCTACTCCCAGTTCTCACATTGACGTCGGAATTTGGGTGAATGGCAGCTGTCGTCACAGGACTAGCAGCATAGGGAGAACCCCCAACGCTATTAGGATGTCTAGTGTCGACGTAACTGTACTTGGGTGACTCTAACTGCTGGCAGTAAAGTCTGTCCTCGGTTTTGGTCAACTGGTGGGTGTCGTACGTCGGTAGGGAGACGTCTATGAAGCCGTTGTAGGCCGTTGGTGTATGGTACTCCGGGTAGTACGATCCTAGGGGCCGATACTGGAAGAGATTCTCAGTTGCTGTGAGGTAGCGATTGTCCAGGGCTGCTGGGGGATAGAGTGTCTGGTGATAGTTCCCCGTGTGGCCTATGTACGTCGTTAAAGATGGATCTGTAGTGGCAACTGCTGCTGGAGCATAGGGAGTTGGATAGATAGTGTTTAGGTTGCTGTAGGCAGCAGCTACTGCCGCTGCGGTACTCGTATCGGCGGCCAAATAGTCCACCGACGCTACCGTTGGCGTCGCTGGTGGTGAGACTGGCGATTGGTTCGAGAGCTTTGTTCTTTTACTGCGGCAGGTGGATAGGAAGTCACGGAGTTGGGTTTTGTAACGACGATTCACTCGTTGTGGAGTGGGTTGTGCTGGAAGTGTCGGTGTCATCGAGGGACCTGTTAAGCTCTCCGAGTCTGAGAAATAGCTATTGGTAAGACCCGCGTCAAGGTATGACACTTTGAAGTCCATCGTGCGCTTCCCGAGGAGATCGCGACCTTCTTCTTCCCTGAAAGCAGAAATTCAGGGGTGAAATAATAGAAATTTAGATGCCATCCGGATAAACCGATGAAGAACTGCGCTTACATTAGAGGTCGATGTGTACTTATGACAAAGTCTGGTTTAGAGTTCTTGTAGACAAGTCTCGAGCTCGTCTGGAGCCATTGCCACCCACCATCTTTCATTTGATACCTGTACGCAATCATCCCAGAGGCACCAGTTTTAAGCACTGAAATAAAACAAAATGGAGAGGTTAATTAATTCCTTCAGACGTAGAAGGCGTCTCCGTATCGGTTGATGAATACCGAAAATAACACATACGTTCTTGATGTGCACTAGCGACATACGCCAAATCATCATAATGCACCAGATCATATCCTCCCAAATTGGCAAGCTCAGCGTCCGTGTACCCCAAGAGCATTTTTCCTCTCTGGTCCATCGACACAAGAGCGAAATCCAATTTATGTTTACTCTTGAACATCACCTCCTTCTGAGGCACCTCCAGCAACGACGGTGGACCAAAAGGTGTGCAGAGTGCAAACAAAGCCAACGGTGGCTCCTCCGTTTTTCTATTCTGCCCGTGAAGAATCTTAACTCGCCCCCGAATATCTAATCTCTGAAAACAAAATAAAAAGTTCTTCAGTCGACGGAAATGAAATAAAGTCAACGGTGACGCCAGCTTAATCTTCTCTTTCTTACTGACGCGATGGAACGTACGTTCCGCAACGCCGTAAACCCTTTTACGATTACAGTTTCATTTTCATAAACGTCAGAGTGCCAATGTTTTTGTTAGTAAAGGTCTTGAGGGGTTCGAAGAGGGTGTGACCACTGGAATATCCTGGGAGCCGTCATGTGGTCCAGGGATAATGTCCTTTGTCTGGTGTACAGAGACCGCTCGGGTTTTGTGTTTGGGGTAAGATAATTACCCGATGTTTTGCTCGGTAATGAGCGATGGATACACCGGAGATGTGATTTATGTACTCTCTTAGATAAAAAAGGGGAAATTATGTACTGTTTATTTAACTGCATTGTCATTTCGCTGATGATGATTTTGGGGAAAAATGGATTTGTGAAATTTCCTCCGATGACCACTTCCGGTCATTATCATCGCTCTTCAGCGATTGTTCGATGAATCAAACAACGAAAAATCAGCAAATAAATAAATAAATAAATAAATAAATAAATAAATAAATAAATAATTCAAGTTAACCTTGTGAATCCTGAAAGAAGTCGTCAGTTTAATTTTCCCGGGAGTTGAACAGTATTTGAGAATGGGGAATCCCTATATCTCGTAAAAATAAAAATAAAAATTTATGCTCATCAGTTGAACCCCATCCTCCGCAGAACGTCACAATCTCGTGATTCCCCGGGAAATCAATTAATGAGTGGGTAACGAGGGAACGGGATATCTCCGGGTAATCGATAACTCCGTGGAAGTACGTCAGAAGAGATTTTCATGGATGGTAGGCCCTCACACTCAGTATTGTGTGGGTGCAGAGAGGCGAATCAATCGCACCAGGAGGGATGGAGTTAGCTGGAGAGTGAGAGGGATGGGTCTTCCGTGAATCCGCTTTTAGACCGTCCAGGCAGGACATCACGAAACACTTCCCGAACGTTTCTCGCGTGACTAGCGATTCTCATCCGCGTCAGGGCATTCGATGAATGAACGTGAATACTTCTTTTACTCCTCCCCTTCCGCACTAATTCCCCCAGCGATTGCCCATTTTTAATTGTTGAGAATCTAATTGTCAAAAATTTTTGAAATGCCGAGTTTAATTGGTGAGGTTTAGGCACTTGGGTGGGTGGTGAGGGGTGATATCTTCTCAGCTTCTGGATGAATCCAGGATTCTTGATGAATCATCAGCGAGAGGGGAAGAGAATTTTCACCGAGCTCCAATGCTTTTTCGGATAATTGGCAGACGAGACGGGTAATGTTTAATGGATCTCCTGGGATTCTTACTTCACGGTTGAGATGGTCTTCAGTGAAGAGCCAGCGGAAAAAAGCAATTATCTTCTCTCGCGCCAGTTGGGATAAAGAAACTCGAGTTATAAGATCTCATTCAGTCTTTTCACCTACGCGCATTATGACAGTGAAATTATTAATTAAGGTTTTTAGTTCTCTTCGGGGAGGTGAGGATTCAGGTAATGATCATTTTATTGGAGACTTACCAAAAATCCTGAAGTGTTGTCCAGCAGACACCTGAATCGTACGGTGAAACTTCGCTCCAGCAGGTGACAGTGTTGGAGGGAAAGGGCGTCGTGAAGGGGTAAATTAGCATTTTCGGCTGGTAAAAAAGAATTCCACATCAGTTGACGTTGGAGCTCTTCACGGTCTTCACTGTGGACCAGTTCGTATACACTTTGATGGACGATGTCAGACTGAAAATTAAAGAAAAGAGAAAATTCATCAGAACATTAATAACAGAAAACTCATTTTGTTAATTTAAAAAATGTCGACATTTTTCCTCAAAATAATTGAATATTTATTTATAAATTGAGGGATTTTTTTTCACGACTTGCGGCGATGCGTAGATGAAATAAATTCGGCGAAATGATAGAAAAAATGGGGATTCATTGAAATAGAATTCTCGGATTTCATCCCCTAAGAAAAGCAGAGTGGCGCAGTGGAAGCGTGCTGGGCCCATAACCCAGAGGTCCGTGGATCGAAACCACGCTCTGCTAATATTTTTTTTCTCCATTTATCCCACACCCAAACCCTAAACCAACCAGCCAACAAAGTTGACATGATTGACATGAATATTTCACTCATAAAAGCCCGAGGACTGAAAAAAACTTTCACAAGTAATAAACCAGTGCTATAGACAGGTGATTACGAAAGTTGTCTGTGTAAAGCCTGAGAAAAAGGATTTCAATGTCTCATTTGAATAATCCACGAAGAGGATATACGAAAGGCCATAATCACGATAAAAAGAATTTTCAACTCTAACCACTTGATGCATATGAGAATGAAAACGAGGTATTTAAGATTATCGTTTGCGGAAATATATGAATAATAAATGCTCAGTGTTTAGAAGCAGTGAAATGAAATATAAATAAAATACTCGGAGAACATTGTGGTGAAGGTGTTGGGGTGAGGCTGAAAACATGGGAGTCGTGATCCTCGTGCTCCTGATATCGCCTCGATGTATTTTGTGGTAGCACTACGAAGCTACTGCTCGGTTATCGTGATTTATTATTATTCATGGTCAGTTGGGACTACTCGAAATAGACACTCAAGTCGTTTCTTGTGTAAATCAATTATTGAGAATGGAAATGTTACTGTTACTCCACTCAGACATTCCGATACAACTTTATTCTCAGCCCCATGAGTAAATGCTATTGATCAATTTTCCAAATGAATATTCAACCCCAATATATCATTATCAATTATTTTTTTACGGATCAGGAATAATTTGGACGATTGTCGATTTAACTCTGGATAATGGTTGATATGAATAATTTTTTATGGTGTAATTGAGAATTACCGGAAAATTCGATGTATTGAATGATTCGATAATGAAGATTTGTTGAACAATGAATGGTTTTTAAATTAAATATCATACCATAATTCTCCCCAAGACTCGTGTTCCGATTAAATATTAAACGCGATGTTTAACCAAAGGCCGAATTGCCGACTTTACGACGACTACCGGTCGCATTAAATCTTTCACCTGAGATTCATGAGTCGATAAATAATTGAAGTGCATTGTGAGGAGTTTGTGGGCGTTTGCCAGGGAGGAAAACTGAGCAAAATGATGATAGAAGAGAGGGGAATATGTTATCTCCTTTCGATTCTCCGATGGGGGGTTCCAATATATGAATTTCAAGAGTTTCGTTGCCCACGGCCAGACGCCTCGGATGTGCGACGCCCCGCTGAGCGACGGGTTCCTGTTGCTCGTACATTTGTTTGCTCTAATTTTAATTAAACTTAATACATGGGTCCCGTGGTAATCGTCCAAAATTTTTTTACTCTCAATTCCTGGAAATTTTCGATTATAATCCATTCACTGCATAAATCATTCCATCATTTTGTTTCAGTCAAAGAAAATCCAGAGTAAAAAAAAAATGTCATTTTCTTTTCATTTCGTCATTTATTCAACTCCGAAAAAAATCATTTCCTCGATAATAATTATCCATTCGCCCCTAATTCACCATCTAACAGCGACCCGTCACGTACGAACGCATAATAACCCGGCGTAATCAGATCGATCTGACTCATTAGCCCAGGTCTAATCACAAATTATATTTTAATTATTCCTCAGGCACTGCAAAGTGCAACTCCCCGCCTCAGGGTCGATTCGACGAGCATATAATTGCGCGGTCACGTGCCCCCCCTCTAAATGCAATCCCGATACGTCCGGCGAATAAAAATTAACGAGCTCGATCCAAGGAATGAATTTTCCTGAAACTAGTTTATTTAAAATGTAATTAATTACAGAAACACCTGCATCCCTCAATTGCACACACCTATCAATTTTTTTTCCCCCACCCATTCTCATAAATTTTTCACAACCATCCCCTGAATTTTACCCGCAACTGGGGATGCAGGAATAATCCATCTTCCTCTGCTAACAATTTTTCATTTTCCAAGAATAAAAAAATAAAAAAAATTTTACTGAAGAATTTTTCTGATAATCGATCCTCGTCCACATTTTATACTCGGGGTAAATCGCCTTGTGCTTTATCCAGTGCCCGTTTAAATAATCTTGAAACATGCACTCACGTATAACCCTCTACACCAGTGCCGGGACGATACGGCCACGTCATGGATGGCTTTACGATCGTCTCTCGTCGTTAATTAAGAGCTTGTAATTATTTAGTGGAGACGCTAGCGCGCACCCCCGCCGGGGCAACCGGCTGGACCCCCTTTTCTCCTCCTGCTGTATCTGCCATATCCTCTTTCCCATCCATCCCCTCCACCTTCTCCCCTTCCTCCCCCCAGGAAGATTTTTTTTTTGAATATCTTCTTGATTTACATCCGTTGAAAAAAATTCGACCTCATCGCGAATAAATAATTAAATTTTCCGGTGGCAACGCGCAATCCCGGGAATTTCAATTTTTATTATTTATTGATTATTATTAGTTTTATTTTAAATACACATTTATGGGGGAGAATGGAGATGAATTGAATTTACTTTTGAAAATTTTGCCGTGGGCTGTAAATGTCACCGAGGCGTCCAAAACTCCCCTCCCCCGCATTACCCCATGAAATAATTCGATAATTTATCCCCAGGATCGATACGTGTATCTTCGTCACGCGATGAAAGGGTCTCGGTAATAAAACTTGAAAAAGTACTTGAGCAAAAATGAAAAAAATTATGATAAAAAAAAAAAGGCAGAGAAAAGTCGAGACGATAATTCACTGTCAGGGGGGTTTGAACGTTGAGAAATAATTCGCGGGGCGAATAAATAAAAAAATGGAAAAATATATAATAAGTGGGGTGGGAGTGAGGGGGGGAGTGGGTGGAAGGAGGTGAAAGTATCGACATGTGAGAAATAAATTCATCCGGTTGAGATCGAAAATGATGAAAACACGAATCGGCATTTGATCAAAGAAAATACGAAACAAATTGAAACAAATCAGGGGTGGGATGATAATAATTAATTCTACAGGCTCATTAATATAGTCCAGTGGTAACATATCACAGTCAATTGGTGGAGAGGGTGGGGGAGGGTACAAGAGTGAGCAAGTTGAGCACTCAATTACGCGGATGAGTTATGATACAAGTGGTGTATATGTACTTTGCTCGCGCGCTCGATTCAATGAGGTGGAAATCAGCGAGTACCGAGGATAAAGAGACGATGAGAGATAAACTAAAAATTTTCAGAAAGAAATAAAAATAATAAAAAAACCGAGAGTGCCTGCGGCCAGACCGATTGTGTCTTCATTAGTGGCTATTAATTGTGGAAATGTGTCACATTCATCTTGCGATGGTGAGAGCTGCAGGATGCAAGTACCCAAGTACTTCTGATTGATTTTGAATCAGCGACTAGATGAATAATTATATTTTTACAAAATTAATTTCCAAAACTCAATGACAAGTTGTTTCAATAGTACTCGTCAATTCCGTGATTATCTCAATATTTTTTGTGGTGGCCATGAATTTCTTGTTGTGGAAATAATTTAATGATTCAATCCGAAATATTTTAGGCATGAATGAAATAATCTTTACTTCCATCAGCTAAATATGCAAAATTGAGTGAAATATGCGAGCACTCGTCACCCCTTTTACGACTTAATACTGAATTATGTACTCCTTTATCCAGTTGCTCTCGGGTTAAAAAGAAAAATTACAATAAAAATAAAGCCGAAGATGTTGAGTTCACTTTTATCTTTTTATTTATAGATTTTTTATTGTGTTTGTTGCGTGAGGTATGAGAGTAAAAGAGAGTCACACCGGTGAAACGACACCCGCAGGGTGAATTACGAGGCGTAAGGATTTTTAGCAGGTGGCTCAGGCTTTTTTTTTTATTATTTCCATTCGTTTCACCCATTATCGTTACCATGAGCAATTGCAAATGTGACATTTTTGCGTATTACGTGAGCCTTGTTTCGTCGCTATCAATATAGAAAACCACGAATCAGTGAAAAATAAATATCAGACTAATAAATCACCGAAGAACAAAAAAGAGACCAATTGAAACGACCAATTAATTAATTCTTAATTAATTCAATATTTTGGGAGGAAAATAAAAACTGAAATCTAACATTGATATTATATTTTTATTATTCAGCTACGAGTATTTAAAAATAAAAAAAATATTCTAGGACTGGACTATCCAGAATACAATGTGGATATATTGCGAAAAAAAAATCATGATTTGAACAATAAAAAATTGCATTGGAATATCGGAAAAATCTCCTGGCACCGGTTGACGCGTGTCAAACGACTAGAACCTGTCAAAGATGGCGTGACTGAATCCTGTTGGGTGTGAAGGAACGGGAAGGAAATTTTCATCCCCCAAAGTGTCTAGGAATTCGAATGAGACCTCGAGATATCCGCAGCAGAGAGGGACGAGGATATAGCCCACAAATTCACTCACGATGGAGTTTGTATTCTCCAATCGAATTGGACACACCCTTTCTCTCCACCATCGTCTTCTCTTTTTAACGTACATCACGCGAGACATTCAATACGATTTTTCTATTTCCGATGTGAACAGAAGAAAAAGGAGGCAATTTATTTTCATTGCTTGTTTATTTCGCATTTTACTCACCTGATGAAATCCTAGATAACTCTCTATGCTGTGCGTGGCAAAAAATACTTCCCCGTCGCAAGTCAGTATCAACAGGAATCCATTTAATGCCTGAAAAATAAAGAGGTATGATTTTTATTAATTTATTTAACACGTCAAACACGAATGGATAAATTTCAATTTTTTTTTCTGTCGATACGTGGGTGATCGCTCGAAATTTTATTCGATAATAATATCACCCCTCAAAATATTCTGCATACCATACTAACAATAATAATAATAACAATAATAATAATACTGCCTGAGGATTTTTATCGATTGAATTCGTCATTTGGTCTGTGAAGTTGTAGAGTGTCTTCGAGGGGTCGGTCATGACGTTATTTTGTGATTTGAAATATTTTTAGATTTCTCGATGTAATTTTCAATTCCAACCGAAAAACCTGCAGAAACGACAATCCGAAAACCTTCTTACCCCTTCATATTTAAAAACCATAAACCGAGAGTTTCCCAGTGCCTGGCACAAGCTTCTCCAGGGTGTAATAAAACAAAAACAATACATTTAAGCTGAAAAGGTATTTGAGTTGTGCGGTTGAAACAGCTAACGGGCCAATAAGCTTCGGATCCCGTTAAAACTAGAGCGGATATTTCGGTTGGGGGGCTGTTACAATCTCATCCCTGGATACCTATGGCTGTTTGTTTTAACGATAGAATTTACTATCGGTTGAGCCGATAAATGAGAAAACTTTGTTTTCCCAGATGCAACTGGGGAGAGGTATTTTATCGCATGTGTTGTGGTATATCCCCATTCCCCAGTCAAGTGAAGAGAAATGAAACGGAAATTGTTTGTTACAATTTCGATGTTGAGTACGATCCGCTGATAAAGATAAAACAATACAATTGTTTACTTTAATCTGAAACTACATTTCATCAATCACGATTGTACCTCTCGATAAAAACTAAATCCAATATTTGTTTTTATTTATTTTACGGCTTTTTTTTTTATTCTGTTCCTCGGGTACCGCGGATCCGCGGTTTTGACGTGTCAACGACATCTTGGATGGGTTCGTGACGAATTTCGTGTATCGTAAGCATTTTTCTTCGCACGATTCACTCGATACAGTCAAGAAGAAATCAAGAGGAATATTGGAGAGAGGGGAATGGAGATCGATTGGTTTTGGTGCTCGATATGGCGTGACGTCTTGTCCGGTGCCGGCAACTCTATGGGTTGTGGATTCGTGGGACTAGAAATCCGCTGAAGATAATGCAATTCATCATTTTGGGAATTCACAGGGGGTGGGGAGTGGATATTTGGATGAGAAAAGAATCCACGGAAGTTCATTAATTAGATGAAATTCTTGCCGTACAATTCCAGAGACTCCGCACTCGGAAAAATGACTTACCAATCCATACAATTGAAAATAAATTTTTATTTGGAACTGTTTCTGCCATCCAGTTGAAGTTTCACTCGTGACAATGACTTTTTATATAATTAATTGAATTGATTTGAGAATTGAATTTTAGGTCTTAATTTTTTCTCTTTCTGAATGGAAAATGGAAGATATGACGAGTTGTTTCCGCATGCGCTATTGCAGCATCTGGATTGGTTGTGGCTGTCCCAGAGGGATTGCGTCAGAGGGGTAGAATCCCCTGGTGTATTTGCTCTCGTTCCCCTTCCAATCGGTTAATTCGATTTGCCAGAGAGGTTTTCCAACCCCCTGGCATGGCCGATAATCCCCTCGTGATCGACAGAAAAATCGTAAACAATTCGGTGACTCCAACCTGACGAATCCATCACAACATCAACTTGACCCACCGCCGATGCAAAAGCTCACGTGTCCATTCATCCCACATAGAAAATTTACCGAGGTACAGAGTCGCGTGCCTCTCAAGTGAATTCAAATGTATTTGCGTGTCCCGCTTCAAGCTCTTAATAATCCTTTACTCCTCACCTGCACTCAACTGCATCCCCTCTTCAATCCTGTAATTAGTCTCCGTAATTAAACCCCCAAATCAATTTTAATTACAAAACCATAGGACATTTTCACTCGTCTCAATAATGTCCTTCTATTTCCAATTTGAAAAACCTCGTGACCTCATCACCGTCGGAATAAATTTAATGATACAAATTTTTACCAATTGACATGAATTGTTCAACTAGCAATAATTAAACAAAAAACATAATTGAAACCGAAATTGTAATTGGCATGTAGCTGTCCCTGGAATTTCCATAAATTTTCCATATCACAGGATATAAATGTCCGAAAAAGCAATCCTGGATTTAAACTCGGGTATTGCATGACCGTTGAGTCTAGGCGTTTGAGACTTATCGCGTCGAAACGATTGTCGGAGTTGATCGTGCGATGACGGCACGCGACGCCTGTCTGATTCAGGTGAAGAGAGAGAGAGATTATCGAAAAGACCGGCATGTGTGTTGTCATCGTTTGTTGCGTAAGTTGGTGCGATTGAGAGGACGTGCGTGCCAACGGTTAAACTTGTCCCAAGGTATTCTGTCAGGTTCAAGACACCTGCGATGGTTTTATCCCCCGGGCTGCTGTGCTCAGGGCATTTGATGTGCGTGCACCTAGCGATAACGAGGTGGAGGGCTGACTTCATTGCATTAGGTGCACTGTCTGTTTATTCTCATGATTGGACATCAATTACGTAATATGATTTTTCACCAGTTGGAGCTCCTAGCCCTGAAGATGTGAAGACTTGCTGAGGAAGGGGGACATGGGGGAATAATCCCTTGAAGGTTGATGTTCAGGTTCTACCGACCTTTTTCGTTCCAAAATCCCGCCCGAATATCCTTGCATCCTCAATGTTTTCATCGTGACGAATCAAGGTCCTTCTTTCGTGCACCCAGTTACCAGGGGTGCTCTCACTTGTTGCTGATAGGTTGCATGTCTGGCTCGCTGCTGAACGGGATCCTGCATTTGGCTTTGTTCACGATATACGCGGGCCGCACGCGGCTTAATTTCATCGGTTGCACGCCTCACTCATTTTTTCCCCCCCCGCATTTCCCCAACTACACTTTCCCTTTTTTATTTGCCTCCGAAAATTCGCATTACCTGCGCATGACCATTCTCCTGTTTTTTAGAATTAGCTGGAAAATTAGGCGAAGGAGTCCTTAATCGGGTACGGTCAGAAAATCAGTCAGAAAATCAGTCAGAAAATAAGTCAGAAAATAAGTCAGAAAATCAGTCAGAAAATCCCAGGAAAGTTGTATACCTCAGGGTATACGAGAAAGGTTGAAGAAATTAGTAGTAGAGTGCTATCGAGGGGCAAAGAAAATGTGGGGAAAATGTAGGATATGGAAAATGTCGGAGTCGAGTGGATTTCAACGGTGATGAATAACCGGAGTAGGGAAGGAATCAGGTCGACTCTTTACAGAGGGTTGGAGCGGCGAAACGGAATTCCGTTTCGCTGAAGGTAGACAGCGGTGTGTGGACGAGGGAGGAGAGTGATGGGCGGTTGAGGGGGTATGGGGTGAGGGTTGGAGAAGCGAGTCGGGCCGGTTGGGCTTGGGATTCGCAGAGCAAGGACTAGGTTGGGTAGTGAGGGGCAAAGGGGCTCTAGGGATGATATGAGGTTAGGTTGGGGTGCGAGGAGGGGGCTTGCCTTGGGTTCTGGCACCGCTAGTCCTTTCTGTATTGATCGCGTGAGCTCCTTTTACCTCACCTACAAAACACCGATCCTCCTCCGACATTTTTACCCACTATCGTTTGCGTTGTGTATTGCCGGTGTCTGTTTACAGGTTGGATAAACATGTCCTTCATTGTCGTATGAAGTTTGGATTGACGATCAGGGTTGCTCGAGATAATGATTAATCGAGCTTTCTATTGACAGAGAACCGCGGTAGCCTCCAGCGATTGATCCAATATTTTTCAGTAATTCTTCTTCAACTTGAATCGAGATTCGATCGTTCATTGGATTTCGGGTTGATCCTCAAGGTTTTAATGAGGGGGTTGTTTTTGGGAATTAGGAATTAGGGGGTCAATCGATTTGTAACTTGGCATGTCAAGTCCCTTGGGAGGGAAAACGAGAAAATATAGAAATGATTTCTGATAAACCGCGGTTCGAGCGATTACGAAGCGACGTTGGCAATTTGTTCGAAAAATGCATATGAGGCGATCCATCAAGGTAGCGAAAAGTGTGCAGTGGTCTGGCGGTAACGACCGCTGGTGCCGCCTGGCCGAAAGAAGCCCGATGTTACTTCTGGCCCTATTGATTTATGGAAATCAAGGCACGGTCGAAGTTCGGGGCCTCCTTACCCCTCTCTCATTTTTTCCTCTGCTCTTTCTTTCGCCTCGATTCCCCGTATAAATAATTCGAGAGTTCCGCGAACTCACCGCTGAAATTCTCCGCTCATTCTCCTCCATTCGATTTCACCCATTTCTCATTCTTTTTTTCTTATTAAACGAAAAATGTTCTGTTTCTTGCGCGATATTTGACGAGCAGAATGATGACTTTATGATGATAATCATAAAATTTATACGGAGCTGATTTCATCCGGTTTATGATACGTCGGGAGGCGGCTATATTCACGAGGGAATAATGAGGGCAATCCCATCTTCTTTTGATGGTTATTATTCCGTAATGAAATGGAATTTTTGCCGTTTGGGGGGAGGTTTAATTAGAATTATCTCTTATTGATTGGACTGTCTACAAATGTAATTCAGTGTGTCAAGTGTACGAGGAAGCACTGCAGGTCTATCCCGTATGTTAAGCCAATGGTGTGGATGTACCTAAATCCCAAATAGAAGAGCGTAATAACATCGCATGATACACAATCATTAATTCGGTTATCCTTCTATATTTCTGGGAAATAGACACCTCGGAACACTGTGTTTCATACAGACGCTTCACTCGGTAATAGATATATCACATTTTTCATTTTTCAACGTGAAAATATAATCCATTTCATTCCATCATTTCATTTTTCAATTCAGCAGAACCCCAATTTCTTGTACTAAACATTCAATCAATTTTTTATAATTTACAATCGGTAATTATAATATGGGTGGAATTTTTTGAGAGAGTAAATTTGAATGGGATTTTCTTCAAGGTTATCAAATAAAAGCCGTCTGATTTTCATATCCGGAATGATTACATTGGATACTGACAGCCAATCATATCGTTTGCGTGACGCCACCCTGAGCTCCTGTTCTGATTCGATGATGCGTAACACGAGTAGAAGGGGGAGGGAACGATAAAATGAAAAAGAGAAAATCCGAGTGGTGAGAGGTGTGCGAGCGATCGTTCGCCTGTCTCGAATCCAACGAAACAGATTGCAGTTCATCGATCAATCGTTGATGACGGCGTGAGGTTTACTGGGGGGGCCCCCCCCGCGAGATTGATGAACATGAGTATTTTCTTGCGTGAAATTCTTATCGACTGATTGAGTGGCTGTTGAGCCACTGGAATTCATTATTTGAGGTCTTTCTACTCACCTGGAGGAACATCTCGCCGTCGAGGTGGTGATGATCGTAAGCCGCAAGCGCCGCCATTTCACGGGCGCGATAATGAGTGTCTCGGTGAGAATTCTCCTCTTTATCTTTGTGCATTACGACTGTAACAAAAAATAATATCTAAAATTATTACTCATTACGTCAATGCGAGAGAATTAAAAAAAAAAATAGGAATTTCATTTTCATTTCTAAAAAAAATTGCAGTCCTACAATTTTCGGGTAACACAAATTCCTGAAGTTTCAGGCGATTGGAGAGTGTCCCAATTTCCAATAATTGAATCGTTGATTGAACTTCAGAAATGGGGGAATCCATCGTTTAATTCCCATTCATTAAAATTAATCAATCGTTTAAAAAATACTCTGGAATTTATTACACCAAGCATCGAATTTTGATCCCTCATGCCCAATTATTTCGGTGAGAAAATAAGATGGTCTGAGTTATAATGTTCATTTTAATACAACGTACAGGGGTAATTTCATTATTTAGCGGTGCGTTTGGTACCGGAGAATTTAATTATGCCGCGCATATGGAGGCAGGTGTACATTTTTCGCAAGTTGTGAGTCATTATAGAGAGCAGTGATGGTTTAAAAATCAAAAGTCAAATTTTATGACACCTTCGTCAATTGTTTTTTCTCCACTCTATTGATTTATGAATTTTATGACTGGAAAAATAAACAATACTTGTACTCTCGTTAATGGATCATTACACATGAATACTTGTGGGGAATGCCGGTGATTGGTGGTCATGAGGTTCGATGAGGTTTTAAAGTGTTTAGGAGTTTAGCCATGCGTGGAGGTGATGCTCGTAAAAGTGACCGAAGCTGGCACGCGACGAATATGTGTACACGCGTGTGCCACGCGACTCCTTTCCTCATCTGTACATAATGTTTTTGTAAAACCAGTAAATACCAATAGTTGAACTCCACTCGCAAGCACCCATCGAAGATAAATGAGTCTATTCAAATGGTATTCGCAATTATTTTTAAAAAACTCAACAATCCTAATGAAATTAATTCTGTCATGCCCCAAAGAGATTTTTTTGCAGTTTTTTGATTTCAATGATTAAATAAAACCAAACAAGGTAATGAAGTGAAACAAATTAATTTCAATTCTCCTCCCCCCGTGGAGGGTGAAATGAGAATAAAAAATGGATTAACTCATCTCCCAATCTGATCGATAACAAAATAATTAACCAAAACTGTTGCACACTCACTCCATCACTTATTACCATTGGTTCATGCAGAGGTAAATAAGATAAGTGTTTATTAATTTCTCTCCCCCCGGTATGTCACAATGACTCGTTGATTTTCAGTTGCGCATTGAAGTCGATTGAACGGTCAACAACTCGGGGATAACCGTCAGCCATTATCTCATCGATCGTTACACGATCGAACGATGATTAATGCGTTTAGGTAATTGCGTACGTTGCGTGTGTTGGTAAATGGCCATCACCAATGATTCAATGGTGGATTCTGATAATTGTTTGTACATTGAGTGACAACTATCTTGAAACAAGGAAAATATATTTCTGTGAAATTGTATTATCTTTCAGTGAAAGTGACGCGCAAATAGCCTCTCATTGCGGGGATCAATCACAGCGTCAATCAAACGAAACAAGTGGAAAAATATCGACTACCATCAGACACAAAATCGATTCCTTCACCTTGGAATAGTGAAACACTACACTTTGTTCCTCCAGTGATCAAGAGCAGTGATTGAAGGCACCGAGTCTCGTCCGAGGCGCCAGGTTTCCATCATTCAGTAAATACACAGCATTCGGGATGATGGAAATGTGAAGTGGCATATTGGTCTTGCATTTTAACGTTGGAAGGTAGAATAAAGACGAGGGTTTGATGCTCCTCCTACCACAAGCAAGGTCGGCCATTATGCATGGCCTGCCTTTTCAGATTACACACATTATGCTTTTCCTATTCTTCAGTCTCATACACGAGATTCAATAATATCCCAAGAAACCGAATTACTCTCCGTTAAAATATATAAAAATGCTGCTCAATCATACCACGACTCTTCTAAAAATATCATTATACATTCACTTAAAATTTTACCACTAACCAATTACTGTGAAGTCAATAATAATTCTGTGGATAATTTAATTATAAATAATTGTTTTACTTTTTACACAAAGGAATTGTCCAGATCGTTTTGTTTTTCTGTTGTTCTCTAATTTCTTTATGCATCGAAAATGAGTGGAAGGGACGGTAAGGGGCGGAAAGGGGTGGAAAGCTGTGGATGGGGTGGTGAGAGAGGAAAGGGGGGTTGAATGAAAGTGTATGTAGTACGGGTGTATAAAGTAATTCGCCTGGTACACTGATAATGGGCAAGCGAGCTCAGGACTCCGCCCTATCCCTGTAACAAACGATAAAATCTCTGATTGCGCAACAACCCCGACGAACCCTCGTCTCCTGTCCTCAACAATATGGAGGACACCTCGGGCTCACACTCGTGAAATATTTATTCATAAATAAAACAGAGACGAGCAGAATATTTAATTAACTCGGTGTAATTAAATTCCATTCGTCAAGCGGCGAAGGTGAAATTGTTGAAATAGAAAAGCTTTCCATTACCCCAGATGGAGAATTATGATTGATGGATTGATGGTCATCAGTCTCTGTGCAAATGATGTCTAAAATTAATTTATAAAAATTTAATTAACTCGATTCAACAATTATTTGCGTAATTACCCACTTTTCTCTTCAATCTCAATAATAAGAATATAATAAATAAAAATACCAATTTCTTGAGAAAGTGATAACTCATTTTTGAAAATAAATTTAAAAAATATAATAATAATAGTAATAATAATAGAATTCCTGGAATTTCAATTAAAAATATGGTTTAATGATTGTTATTAATGTAATTAATTATTATTGATTAATTAATGGATTTTTCGTGATGGAATGAAATTTTGAAGGAAAAATATTGGAGTAAAAGTCATGAAATCATTGCTTTCTTCGCATAGAATGCCTGAATGGGTTTCATAACAGAATTAAATATTTCACGTGAAGAGTACACTCCAATTTCGCACATACCGAAGATACATGTGTTATTGTGTACATGTGAGGCGTGTCGTTAGAGCTGAGGGCATTAAATTTGCAAGATTAATCTGCGCTTTCATTAGCCGCGCTATCGCGGTGGTCGAGGCTGCTCTTCCCATTCGCGTTTCAATTATCTAATTAATCGTCTGTTATGCCACGACGCCGAGATTGAGGGATAAGGGATTCATTCCCATATTTCTGGGGATTATTTTTTTGAATATTCGATGATTTGTCGGATCGCCAGGGAAATGATACGAGAATATCGCGGGGGAAAATAATCGCCTTTTTACGCAGTTATTGTTTAAGATCGAGGGTATTGTCAGGGGAAAGTACGCCAAGGTGAAATACCAGAGAAAACATTCAACACTCGATGGTCAATGAGTCGAGGAGAGCAAATACTCGAGAATATCGAGACTCCAAATGCGAGTGCATCACCGACCGGATAATGTACTTTGCATGTACTCGACCTCGGTACCCTCTTTATTCATGTCTTCCGAGTCTTTTGTGGAACAATTACAGGAATTTCCGCACCCAAAAAAAAAATCAACTTTCAGTCGTTATCAATTCAATTCGCAATACGTGAATCCACTTTCATCAAACAAAAAACTCGAAATAAATTCAAACCCCGCATTTTTCAGAGTGATGAAAAATTGATAAAAAACGTTCTCATTATTTATTTTCCCCCGGATAAAAACACGAGCAAAAAGCCTATTTTACACAGAGGGTCACGGAGGGGAGGGCGCGAGGCTCATCCGCTAATTAAATTCGATAAAATCAGTGGGGCATTCTCTCTCGTACCCTTCAATCCACTCCACCCAAGATCATATTCCACCGATCACATCCCAAGGTCCCCAAAACAGGACATTAATCCACGGCTCGGGTCTAAACCCTGAGTGTCCAGGAGGTGTATATAAACGAGTTGGGTGAGGTTAAATGGTGTACATCGGTGGAACAGGAGATATGTTCCTCCTGGGACGTCGCGTGACTCCTTCATACTCCAACCGACGAAATCACCCTTCTCCCCCTAGCCTGCCTCCCTCCTCCCGAATCACCCCCTACCATTGCCCCCCTTTTCCACCCTCCCCACCATTTTCTTTATTGTATGTATGTACGAGCTAACGCCATTGCACTAATTGCCATTCTTAATCTCATTTGCCGGACGAAATTGGATTGAAAATATTGCGGGGATCATTTTTTCCAGAGGTTTATTCTCAATTTCGAAGTGGTTTAAGTGCCAGCTAGGGTTTCATAATGATTCCATAATTTGGATATTCTCGATCGTTGTATTATTTCAAACTGAAACTCGAGGGGATAAAGTGAAAAGAGATAACGATTTTTGTTCTGCAGTTTTCGGTGATTAAAATATTTTTTAAATATTTATTTGGGTGTTGGATATTATTGGGTATGAAAGCAATTATTCGAGGATGTTGATGATTAGTGATTGCATTAAGGATTTTTGAAAAATTGTGGTGATAAATTTTGATGACTTCGTTAATTCCTAGAATGTGTGCAAAATAATAACGGACAAATCCCCACCAAAACTGCATCTTGATTAATCATCGTAATAATCTCACTAATAAATTCCCCACTCATTTTATGGTCAAGAAATCATTATTGAAGATTACACAAGTGCTGTTTGTGATTTTAACTAGAATAAATGTGGCCAATAATTCATGCGGTAAATAATTTATTAAAAAAAATAGCGCTAACCGATAGCCTTCGTGTAGCAAACCGTAAAATGGCTAAAAATGCAAAAATGTAATAAAAAGTGATAAATCTTGTTCAAATCGTGAATGAAAAATTCAGCAATCGAAATTTTCGCGTTTCCCATTGTTCACCGCAATTTCTGAAATGAATTTCTGCGTGAATGTTCTGATACTTTGAGGAATTTACAAAAATATTGTACTGAGTTTTTTATTGACAGGATATATTGAGGGAATGGGCCAGGTCAGGTGCAAATGAAGTCACATAGGCCGGTTAGGTTCCCAAGATGGGTAATCATTATTCCACCGAGTTTACCCATCTCCCAAGCCCCATCCAGCGC